TGCTGGATTTTTTTTTCGTGGGTTGTTAACTGTCGACAAGTTTCAGGCAGTAACTTCTACCTGTTGCAGGAAGAAAACATACACTTTCCTCTCTTGTAATACAATATAAGTATTTTTTATATTGACCAAAGTAAACACTCCTCAAAATTTGTTAACGTTTTTTTCCGGACACCTGTACAAAAATGACGTTAAAACAGTTTTTTTTAGTAATTATTTTAGCCTTATAAGGTGTTGTATTTCGTCAACCAAAATTTTTTTTTTAATTTTACTTTTTTATAAATTATATCTTAGAATTTTATGAAAAAATTGGGGAGAGAAATGTATACCTACTATCAAGTAAATAATGTTTATTTACAATCACTAATAATGTAGTAATATACCGATTCCTAACCTTCTGAAGGTCGGGAAATTTGTCATTACTTACATCACGTGGAAAATAATTTCTGAGAAATTATTAAAGTTACAAGCTCATCAAACTTCAAAAATTCAATTTGTTTGCACAGTAACTGCGTCTTGACACTTCGAATAATAAGATATTTACCATCTCGCATGTAATATACTATATATTTTTTATATGTAATACATAATATAAAATCTAAATAAAAATTCAAATTGATGTCTTTCTTGTAATAAATTTTAACAGTAATTTGTCTTATAAAGTTATTAAATGTGATATTTAATTATAAACTGGAAAACAAATTAATACTAGCACATAATTAACTTTCTATCAATTAATTTCAACTGCACTGTTTGCTACATCAATATATCAAAAGTTGAAAACACAGAAAATACAAAAACCATTGCTCTACAAAAATACTTATTTTTCTATTTTTTTTTGAAGTTAAAAAATAAGGTGGTTGTTTCAAAAAGTATTTTGTGCAAGAAAATTAATCATTCTTTTATCGTGTTCATCTGTTATTACAAACTGCTCCTCCTCCTTATTTACAATCAGTAACATCCTTGATCTAATTTTTAAGATTAATAACCAATTATTCTGACCAGTTATTTCTAGAAAAAGATTATCGTAATTATAAAAACCTCCTGCTTTTGCTGCATTTGCATTGACAAGTTTATTTCAGCAAATTACAGCTGCGGCCTCCAGCGGAAACAATAAATTGTTGAAATTTTGAAAAAAATTCAAAGTGTGTAATTAGATAAAATTACATTGAAATGGGATGCAGGTCACCTGCTTCATCCAAGACAGGAATGTCCCGCGATGTGTCCTCTGCCTCGCATTTATTTATGTGTGAGACTGGCACATTCCGTGGCTGCTTCCTTTGAGGCATTGTATGGAAGAGTATTGTGTAATTAGAAATGCCGACAGCATTTCCACTGGTACACATGTTGCTGTAATGATACCATAAATTGAAGAAACAGCTGCTGTTCATATTAGCGCCACGACCGTTTGTCCTGCAAACTAGACTTCTTGAGGAAGATCGTTTAAATTCTTCGCGTTGCGATCTGCTATCCCTAAACGGGACGACTTAATGTCCTGCTGGAAGCCTCCGATCAAATTCCAACACTATGGGGGCAAATGACCGGTTTTTTATTCTTTTAGAGCGCAATTTGCTCATCGATGCCATAAATTTGCGAAATCATTACTTCTGAAAGTTGATTCTACAGTTAAATGTGCAAAACGTTTTAAAGCAACGCAAATTAGCTCGTATTTATGCTATTTTATACGATTTGCAAAACAAAACCATAAATTCCGCAATATGAAGGGAGATTTTTACATACGAGTAACGGTACGTTATAAAATTCCAAACTAATTTTTATCGCAAATTAATTGTCTCGCGATCTCGATAAGAGATAAAATCGCTCATTGAAGCTTTTATTTCACTCGTAAAAATCGTATAAAGTCTCTGATTATATTCCTGTTTCGTGTTATAGCGAAAAAGTGTTTCTTAAGGGAGTTCAATAAACCTGAAACAGTTACAAGGAAATTTTATCGATGATGACTGGACAGTTTTCAGCAAAGCCACTTTTTCAGCTTAATCTATGCCACATTCGAGTGCTTCTTTATGCGGGTGCATAAGAACGGGAAGTTTTATTTTGCTGAATATTTATGAAGTGGTTGCATACGTTTTATGAGATTTGTTTCAAAGTTTGAGCTTTTGAAAATTGCAAATGCAAATGTAATGGATGGTCTCATTTGTTTAAGTTGTTACGCTAGATAAATTAAATAGTTCAAAATTAAAATTTGAAAATGTTACTAATAAACAATTATTATTATAATTAGTTTTTAATAATTTTAAATCTTAAAATCAGACCAAATGACGTTTTTACACCTCTGAGGGTCCAAAACTGAAAATTCGCAAACAAACCGTTCTGACCTTTATCGAATTAATGTTTTCACTATTTTTGTATTTACCAGCTATTTTTTCAATAAACATTTGTTACAGAACAATGATCTTTTTTTATAAAATAGGAAATTAAAAGTGCAGTCCAACGGCATCAAAAATAAGAAATTGACTGTAAAGCAGTTTGTTGCAATTATTGCAATTGTTTGTCTGGTTGAGCGGACTAAACTTGTAACATTATAAACATGTTTACGAACAGTCTCCTCCATGAATGAAACTTTATTAGTAATAAAAGCTTTTTATGCAACTTCATAAATTTACACTTTCATTCAACATGCAGCATGCAATTTAGGTTTTGCAACCCACCTACGTTGAAAAAAGAGCTGCTCCAATTAGACAAATAAGCGAAAAGAAAGTGTGAGAATAATTTGCTTAATCGAAGAGAATAGAGTTTTATTATGCCTGTAGGAACTCCAGCCCAGCGTCGCTTAATCGTCGAATTTACAACTGATGAATGGATTTATTTACACTTTTGATATTGTAATTCAAGTCAAAGCCCACATTCTGTCACGGTTTGCCCATAAAGCTCAAACTCCGCCTCCTTCCATTGTAATATTGTGGATTTTAATTATGCGCAAAGAAGCCGAGGCTTCGCTTCAGGATATGCCTGCACACCTATACTAATGGCTCATTTATGCCAAGAAACTTATTGCGAGAAATTTTATTATTGTGGAGCGAAGAACTGGTCTTTTTACAGCTCGAGTGTTTCCTCGAAGTGAAATATGGGAGTAAGTGCAAGCTCCTCACGATCAAGATTGCCTTTTTGTCTGCAACCACAAATTACAGCCGTATTTGTAGATATAAACTTTACTCGATGTAATACAAGATTTCTCATTCACTATAAAGCAATGTTCCCTGAATTCGCGCCATGAAATATTCAAGGACTTCGACGTTCTAAACACTTTAGGATAAATTCTTCGTAAAATGTTTGCAATTTTAAAATCACTCATGATTTATCTCCAGACGTTTCGCAACCGGCATTAAAATAAAAATAGTCAGTATTCCGGTCAATCACCAATCAAAACTATCATAAGCATAAATAATCCTTGCGCAAGTCCAGTGGAAATGGCTCGTTTTAGCAACTTTACGATTATTGTGGGAATTTCATTTACTTCAGAATTTTCTAGGTAAATTCATTTGTTTGCCACTCTAAATAAAAATTAAGCTCTACCGGAACCAAAAATGAGAATTTACTGGTTGACGATTTGAGTTTATTTAAATGTCGAGCCTTCCCACCCGATAAGATAAACACAAGAAGTAAATGTCTTGTTCGTGTGCTCGACTAAAACAGATTTATTTAATTTAACGGTTTTAGATTGGACTAAATTGACGATTTCAAATTATTTAATCGGAAAAAACTTCTAAATTAGTTGGAGCATAAAAGACAGACAAACCACTCTTATCGGGGCCTAACCCTTTCATGTACGAAACCACTTTATTCCACTGTTATCTAATTGAAGTTTTACGGTGTTTTCACCAAAACTTGGAACAGAACACTGCCATTGATTATAGATTAAAGAAAAATATGAGAGGGTAGGTAGCTGTTGCATGTCGGTGGACAATAAACACTGTGTACACTAAAACAACATTTTTGTGGTACCAGAAGCTATACTTGCACTGGAATTTAAACCACCAAAATTGACTATATGCGGTTTAGACCATTATTTTAGATTAGATTAAGTATAGTTTCATATTTGAAACACGATTATTTTGATTGATGACAGCTTTTCATGCAGTAAATTGGACAAGAATGAATGGATTTTTAATAATTTATTGCAATTACCTTAATACAGAATGTTATTACATAAAAAAACAATAGTGAGAAGTTATAGTAACATTTCTGCGTATTTTTTTTTTATATGTATACTTTATGTTCTTACCTTAGTTTTTCTTATTTTCTTTTTTTATCATATTATTATTACGATTATCCTATGATGCACATGTTACATACAAAAAATTATGTCATGTACATTGGAAAATCAATAAATCATTTTTTTATTGATATTGTTATACAATTTGCAAAATCTAAGAGCTAAAAGGTTTCAGGCGCCCAAAGTCAATCCAAGCGAGAATTATGTCAAATGCACAATTGAAAAATAACAGACTTAAACTCTTGAAAAAAGTAAAAAGTTCACAATTTTTGGTCTAGTTTTGTTATTTTTCGTCTTATTTTAACGAAATTTTGCAAATTAATTTCGTTTTAGTTAAAAACACTCCAGAAAAAAATTTAATTTTTGACTTAATTTAATGAGTTTCTGATCTGTTTTAATAATCTCACAAAAAAAAGTAAAAACCACACCATTCTCATGCAAATTTTGTGGTTTTTCGTCTTATTTTTGACAAAACTTTAATCAAACAAATCATAGTTGTAACTTAAACGTGTTTTGACAAGATTTTTCAAAGTAAATGAGTAAATGAACTATTCCAGCGAACAACCTAAAATAATACAAATTTCGCTCTAATTTTTCGGTCTGTATAAGCAACATTTTTGGAAAGTAAACATTTTTGTCTAACTTTTTTTTAATAAATTATGTGTTCTAGTTTTTGTAGTATTTTTTTCTCTTTTTTTAAAATAATTTACAGTTTTCTGCATTTTTTTTAATTTGCTTTTTGACACTGATAGTTTGCTATTTCCCTTGTCACATATTGACATTTTACGTTTTTGTCACTTTTAACGTCATTCTAAGTTTACACCCCTTTTATTTTTAATTTTATTTTGTAATTAATGTCTCGAGATCCGGAAAACCCCGATGCCGGAAATCCTCCCCCTCCTCCGCCCCCAATGCCCGGTTTTGGGCGCGGCCCAGGCCGCATGGGCTACCGAAGACTCGAAGAAGACGACGAGTTGTTAATCCCCCGCCCTAGCATCCTCCTCCCCCACCTCCAAGACTCCGAAAAGCGCTTTTTCGAACTCGTTCACTCCGGTATCCCCCACACCGCTTAATTCCAACTCGCGACTGTAAAATTTTCAGGTGATGTCGCCGCTGTTAACGAATTCCTCAGCGAAAATCCCGGTTTTAACATTAATTGCGTCAATTTCCAAGGCGTCTCGGGTCTACTAATCGCGGTTCAGAGCCGCTCCGAGCCCATGGTGGAGTTCCTCCTCTCCCAACAAGACATCGATATCGGTGATTGCGTCCTGCACGCAATTAGGGATAACCAGCCCAAAATCCTGGAACTCCTATTGGAGAAGCAGCGGAATACGGCCCCCAGTTTGGAGTACGTGGGGGTGACCCACAGCTCCGACTTCCCCGACTACGTGACCCCCCTCATCCTCGCGGCGCAATGCGGCCATTATGAAATCATCGAGTTGTTGATCGACAGGGGGCACACCATCGGGAAGCCCCACTCGCCCTCCTGCCGCTGCATGGACTGCAAGGCCCAACTTGAGCGCGACGACCTTCTCCACGCTGAACACTTGCGGTTAAATCTCTACAAATCTGTATGCAATCCGGCCTATATATGTCACTCCTCGAGGGACCCCATCCTCACTAGTTTCCAGCTATCGGCCGAATTGCGCCAGTGCTCGTTTCTAGTCCCCGAATTCCGCAACAACTACCTCGAGCTCGCCACCGAAGTGAGCAACTTCGCCGTGGAACTCATCGCCGGCTGCAGAAACTCAGGCGAGGTTGAAACCATCCTCAAACAGAAAGCTGGGATCCAGAACGCAAGCATCTTCATGTACCCAAGACTGGTGCTCGCGATGGACTACAAGCAGAAGTTCTTTGTGGCGCATGCCCACATCCAGCACATTGTGGAGTCCCTCTGGAGAGGCAACTGGTACGACTATAACCTTAAACCGATCCCGGCGAAGATCGTTTACCCCATTTTCCGGATTTTGCTACTGCCCATCATAGTTGTGATGTGCATTTTCATGCCACGACACCAAATGGTGGAACATTGGAACATCCCCCTCAACCGGATGATCAACCACGTCGCGGCTTTTCTCGTCTTCTTGGTGCTTATTTTCCTGGAGTCGAACCAGTCCAAGGAGAAGCAGAAACGCTTGCCCCCCAATTCGGGACTCGAACCCGTGATTATCATCTTCGTGGTGGGGAACTGTTGGAGTGTGGTGCGGATGTGTCTCATTCAGGGCCCCCGGAGGTACTTTACGTACCTCTGGAACTGGCATGCGGTCATCTCCAACACTTTATTCATCCTCACATTCGTTTTTTGGTTGGCTTCGTACGTCGACGCTGTGAACAACGACCAAGTGGACTTGGAGCGGAAATATTGGCACCACTTGGACCCGGTTTTGATAGCGGAGGGGACTTTTGCCGTCGCCGTCGTCATGACCTATTTCAAGTTGATGTTTTACTGCCGATTGAACTACTATTTAGGCCCCTTGCAAATCTCTTTAGGTAAAATGTGCACCGACATGGCCAAATACATCACAATCTTCATCATCATCATCATTTCGTTCACGGCCGGCTTGTGTCGCTTCTACAACTACTACGATGGAATGGTCCAAGTGGACTCGAACGGGATCAAGACGGCTCAAGTCTCCTCATTCATCGACTTTAGCACCACGTTGAAGACCTTCTTCTGGGCGGTTTTCTGCATGGCGCCGCTTGAAACCGGCGATGTGATTATTGAGAACCTCCCTGGGGATACCGAAAACACGACCATCATCAACAAGCACCTCTTCACTGAAGCAGTGGGCTACATCGCGTTCGCTCTTTTCGAAGTACTGACAGTTGTGATGATCCTCAACATGTTGATTGCGACAATGTCGTCGACGTTTCAACGCGTTTTGGACAACATCGACGTTGAATGGACGTTTGGGAAAACCGATTTTTATTTAGAATATATGCTACAATCCACACTTCCGCCCCCGTTGAATTTGATACCAACTCCTAGCGGAATTTCGGCGTTTATGGAGTGGTTTCAGTCGCCCAAAGTCGACCCGAGAGGTTTGTGTCAATTGCATACTTCAAAGCCTAATTTTATTCCATTTAGAAGAAGAAAAGAAAAATGATTATCCTGCGCTTATGTCGCAGTTGGTGCAGAGATATTTCAGAGACAAAGATTCGGCTACGAGTCCTGAAAACGATTTAGAGTTTCTTAAACAGGAAATCGCCGAAATTAAGCAAGCAGTTAACGACTTATTAGAAAAGGAGTAATTTTTTTATAAAAAATAAAATATTTTATGCAATTTGCACCTTTCTTCTGAATTAGGGGTTGCCTACGCGTCAGGATTTTTAAACTGTTTTTTTTTTGACGTAGTGTAAAAGGTTATTTTTATTTTCAGCCCAAAAACGGGCTTAAAAAGTACTTTTAGCCTAATTGTTTTAGCGAATTAATTTTGTTTCTGGCCGAAAAAGGTTTTAAAAAACTACAAATGATGTAGTTTTCGATATGATTTGGTGATTTTCTGATCTGTTATTTTCATGTAATCTCACAAAAGAACGAGATAAATAAAAAAAAAAGTAGCACCATTCACAAACAAATTTTATGGTTTTTTGGCTTATTTTTTAAAAAATTTCGTTCAAAAACAAAACAAACAAAATTACATCAACTTTTTTTGTTTTATTTCAGTGATTTTTAGGCGTGTTTCGACAAAACCTTTAAAGTAAATGAGTCTAGTTAAAAAATGAACTAAATCGAACGAAATAAGCTAAAATAATATCAATTTATAAATTAATTTAGGGAATTTTGCAGCCAGTTTAAGCAAAGTTATAAGAAAATCGTTTTTATCTCAAAAACACTTAAATATCACTTGAGAAATTGACAGTTTTTAGCATAAATTCGTTAATTTTTGCCTTGCTTTTAACTAAATTATGCGAAGTAAATAATGCGTTCCTACCTGAAAAATGTGCTCGAAACAGACCAATATACTGTAATTTTTTAACTAATTAATGATTTTATTTTGAAAAAATTTAGCGACATAATTGAGTTTCATGCTGAATACATGCAAAATATGCTTAAAATAAAATAAAAATGATGCTTTTTGACCTAATTTACAATGGAATTTCGTTCATTGATGACTTCGCAATGAAAAAAATTAATTCTAAGCATTAAATGTTTGGAGAAACACTAGAATTTTGAAAAATAATTTCAAAATATATTAATTTTCTGTTATCTCATCGCAGTTTTTTTCATTTCAAAAAAGTCCCTAAATCACCAGGCTGCCACAAAAATCTCCAAACATGGTGAAATTTTACCAGACTGACAACACTGTCGTTTTATTATACGTCTTTGCTTCAATATTGGTTGACCACAAATAAAACGCAATTTCTTTACAAATCATTAATTTAAAAAAAAAAAAAACGAACACGAGTAACTTAAACTGTCGAAATTTAAACCAACTTTATTATAAACATCAACAGTAATTCACTGGAAAAGTTTAGTCTCATCCACCAATGGATGTAATAATATACATACAAGCCCGTGTACAAGAACTGCACACTTTGATTTATTACAAAACCGCTTATCTACTTTAAGATCTCTATATAATTCAAAATATCAACATCAAATAATAAATACAAGAAAAACTCAGAAAAATATACACGCAATCTGTATAAAACTACTTTTCTCTTGATCTCCGACCTAATGTCTAAAAAATCAAAGCAAAAAAAATCAAATCACAAATTTACGATTTATCCCGTTTCTTGAAGTTACGTTTACTGGCACATCTATTAATAATATCCGTGACATGACCCTTATGGTCAAAGATTTTCATAATTTGGGTCTTCGCTTCAATCATTCCATCGTTGATGATTTTAATCCTTTGCAAATTACCCTGAAACCAAACTTGATTTAAACCAATCAAACCACAACACGCACTAAACCACCTTGATAAGTTCGTTGATTCGGTTTATATCCTTCTCAAAGTCTAACGCCTCTTGAGATTCGGTGTTTTTAAGCAATTCGTTCAACTGGTTGTACACTTGCTGCTCTTGCTCGGCCTACACCCCAATTAAAAAACAAATGTGACCAAAATTACCACTGAGAACTCACCAAATCCTCCATTTGAGTCGAAAGATGATAGATTTTCCAACCGTTCACCTTCTCTTGCACTCTGTACTGATTGGCCAAATCCATGATCGTAGGCCTCCGCTCATCTTTGGGTCTCACGTCCGAATACCTCAAATAGTGATTATGTGTGGCCTTCCACGTCTGCCTATAGCTATTCAACAAGCTTGCTGACGCTGGTTTTCGAACAGTCGTCACTTGCCCCGCCTCCGGGGCCCCATCTCTCGGCTCATCACTCTGATTTCCATCAGAATCCTCCTGTTCCTTCTTCAGCGAACTATCAGTAATAAACTGCATGTCATCATTATGCTCATCAATATCATTACTCCCAGTCCTGGAAAAAACTCGATAATTATTCACAAAAAAAATAATAAATAAAAAATTGTACAGTTGTTGCTTCCTTGGCTTCTTCCTCGGACTCATCTCCATGGGGGGCTTCACACCCTCATCCTCCTTATTCATGGGGGCATGTGGCATACTATCTTCATTCACTTCAGCCAGTCCTGGACTGGACGTCGCTGATATGGTGGTGCTCCCGCCTGAACTATGCCCATTTCCGCGCGAATCGGGCCTCGAAGGGGGCGAAATCGACGGAAGGGGCTGCTGGGTGAGGTTGGTCAACACCGGTGTGAGGTTTTTGGCCGCCTTGAGGGGCGACCCCTCGTGGTCGCGCTTGCGTAAAATGCTCGGACGCGGCGATGACGTCATTTTTGTCGGTACGGATTGAGATTGCTCCGAGTTTAGCTCTGATTGGCCCGAGAATTGTTGAGTACGGTTCTGGTCCACCACCATAACTGGGTTAAAGCGCATTTGTTGATTGGTCACAATGCCTGATAAATGAAAATTATGGGGTTTTATTCGAGTTTTGATGGTTTTACGCACCGTGGACTTGTGTGTTTAGAGACGATGGTCGTATTTGTTGAGTGGGTGCTTGTGGAAGAGCGGCGAAAGATGTCGGTTGTTGGCCGAAAGAACGACCATCGTAAAAATACGTACTTGCGAGAGAATATGTTGTTACACTGCTTGTTGTTGTGTTGATGCTGGTTTGGGGTGCAGTTGTAGGACCTGAAACACAAAGCACAACTGTCACAATGTTTTTCTTATTAAAAATAATCTTGGTAACCCTGGTAATAATTAATCAAATAGCACACTACATAATATTCGTGACAGAAATTATACCAAAATATTTTTTTTAATAAAATGTAAAAAAAATCACAAAGTACACAAAGTAACATTAATCATACTCCAGGTGCGACTTTGTATTATCATATGCACATATTACATAATAAAATTATGCCAAGTACACTGAAAAATAAATAATTCAAATTTATAATTTTTTTAATGTTTTGTTTTTGTATTAATACAATTTATATTTCCATAATTTTTTAATTGTTTTTATCTTTTTATCTATGTACTTCTCTACCATCTTTCATTGAGTTGGAGCCCTACTTCTTGTACAGCCTGTATAAAATTTTTCTTATACAGGGTGATTCAGCTTAAATGACCCACTTGACCTCTCTTGGCAGACAACCCATAATACACAAAGCAATTATTCCTTGATTCATATTAGAATTTTGAAAGTTTCATGAATCAAAGTTTGCTGTTCGAAAAATATCGGAAGTGTCACTGTCACAAGCACATGCAACAATACATTTCAATCAATGTCAATTTTTCGAATAAACGCAATTTTATTTTATAGAAAAGAAAAAGGTAAATCAAAAATTAATTATTTCATAGTCAATGCTCTATGTGGTCACCCGGACGGTGCTCACAAGTCACGATTCTATTCACAAAACACAAAATCAAACATCACTAAACATAACATTATTAATAAAGTTTGGATTATTTTCTCATTATTCCCAAAGAAAATAACAAAAATCTAATCTACGAGGGAAGTCAGCATCTCATAGTTCTTGCACTAACTGCATGCGATAGGGATGAAATTTATTAGTTTTTAAAGTCCTAGAAACAGAAGATTGCAATTGCAATTGCAATTCCTCTTTGCCCAATATGCCGATTTTGTTCAACAGTCTCCAACACCAAAATTTTCTTCTTTAAACTAGTCGCAGTTTGTATACTTCCACGCTTACTTGCAGGCCAATTGTGACACAAACACATTTCCAGTCGTTTAAAAATTTTATGCGTAGGATGTAGGTACTCTTTCTGGATATTGCCAAGCGTATGAATCGGCGGCTAATCTAGCATTTTTACCACATGCACCATAAGTTAATATCACATCAGTTTTTTCATTATTTGTATATGAATATCTCGGCATTTTTGAAATTTTGAGACGTCGTCTGCGTTGACGTTTCATTTGACGCTTTGAAATATTTACTTGTCAAATGGACGATATTTTGAAAATTTAATTTTGAATCAAGGAATAAGTGCATAATGTATTATGGGTTGTCTGCCTAGAGGGGTCACCCTGTATTATTCTTATTGCCTTGCTCATTTTTTGAAAAATTTTTGAAAATATGTTTCAATTTAAATTGAAATAAATGAACTAACATGTTTTTTTTTGCTTTTGTTGTACAGGGTGCGTACTACAAGTGACCAAATTGTGCTATTTTGAAAAATTTATAACTCTAATTTTTTCCATGTTCCATGTCATTATTCTCTGAGGCCGAGTTTTGAACCATCCCTGTATATTTTATACCATAAGAAGTTAATTTTTACATACATTTTATAATTTTCAAATAAAACAATATTTCATATTTCGAAACCTCGATAATTCGATTAATTTCTTTGACTTCGACTTAACAAAGTTCAACTGTACGTCAATTCTTCAAAAAAAAAACTTGAATACAATGCTGAAATAATGAAACACCTTACAAATTTCAAAATATTTTTCTCGATGTAGAAGCCACATAAGTATGGGCGTAGTCTTTTTTTGGTGTTGGAATTAGATAATGAATAGATTTGTGCAACATTTTTTAATAGTAGATAAATAAGTAGATAAAAATATTCCTGATTGAAACATTAATCTTAGCTGATTTAATATAATGAATTGAGTACGATTTCTAAAAGAAAAAAAATACCTTACCACTATAAAAAAAATAAATCCTCAAGTCAAACAAATAAACCTCATTTCGTAACTGTTTCAAAATGTAAAATATAAAAATTACATAACTTAACCAATTACCTTCATTCATAAACTATTGTAAAAACCAAACTGTGTTTACACAAAAACTAAACCGAGCAACTGCATTTAACATTTAAAAGGTTGCTGTAAACCCGTCTGATGATAAAAACCTGATTGAGTCATAGTTTCGTTTTATCATGAAATGTAGATAAGAGATAAAAAACTAACAATATTTTGAAGCATTGTCGACTTATTATTTCAATGAATAATCTTTATTATTGGAACAATACACTTACTGGGGGAAGTCCTCCTGGGCACCGACGACAACGGAATAAAAACATTGGCCGTTGGAGTTTGTCCTTGTTGATTATCGCCTTGTTGAGAATACACACTAGCAATTGGTATAGTTTGCGAAGAAACAACCGCTGATTGCCTTTGACTAACTATTGCAGTGGGGACATTAACTGAAAAAAAGTAACCAAAAAAAAATCACTAGTAATAAAACTCACCAGTTCGATTAGCAGCCGTGACAACAGTTTGCGTAGTCTTCACAGCAGCCGGTATTGGAGTAAAATGAATGGCACCTGAAAAAAAAAAGATAAACATGAATAAAAAAAAACAACAAAAAAACAAACCTTGAGCCGGTTGTGTTATAACTTTAGTTGCTTGCGTGTGCACACTTCTCGGTTGCGAAGTATTAGCCACGGCGAGGAGATTAAGCGTCCTCGTCTGACCTATAATATTGGAGTTTGAGACTTGTGCAGGACTTGCAGCAACTGATAACCGCCCTATTGTAACATTCGGTTGCGTTGAAACGATTCTATTAGCTGTTGTACCAATAACTGAAGAGGGTTGCGAAGCCACAGCTGTGATCCTCGCCCCCGAGGTTAAAACAGTCGCTTGGGGGGCCACCAAACGCCCACTTGTTTGCGTAACATTGACCGGAATCGTCAAACGTGCCGTCGTTACCTGACGATCAAAAAAAATATATATTGAATAACAATTTTAATTTATTTGTAATTACCACAGGTCTTGTTGCAGCATTTTGCCTCTGATTTTGTGACGAACTCACTGTAAGTCTCGGAGTCGCCGTAAACTGTCCACTAGTATTAGCACTATAAACCACAGCCTGGGTCCTCGAAGGCAGCACCTGTGCAATAGTAACATTCCCTAACCCCTGAATCCCGGACGCGTTTTGTCCCGGCTTAAACGAGTGTCCGATTGTGATCGCAGAATGCAAAATCGTAGTCCCTGGCCTAATCGTCGACACGTTCTGCAGCCCCGTTTGCGCCCTAGAGACAAGCTGGGGCTTCCCTGTGACACTTGCCCCTCTAACCGGCGAACTCAACACAGTCGTCGCCCCCTTAATCTGCGACCCATTTGACGTGTTCGTGAGCCAGGCTGTGCCTTGAGCGGGACTTGGAGTCCGAGGCGGCCGCACAAACCCGCTCGCTTGCGCTGCCACCACCATGGGGGCGCGCACCGACGCCACGTTGCTCCGAGGCGCCGCTAGATTCGCCACGACTGCCGGACCCCGCGGCACGTGGTACGTGGTCCCACATGGAACGGGGGCTGTGGAAAGCGTGATTTGGGCAGGTCTCTGGATTGTGATGCTAGCAGAACTCGTCCTTGCAGCATCTAAAAACCACAAATTAGCGCAAATTGGGGTTTTAGGCACACTCACCTGGCTTGAATACGGTGTGGGGGACGATGTTTGTTGTGATTATTGTGGGGGCGTTTGAGACTTGGCCCGAGTTTGGGGGCGTTCCCTGAGTCAGGACTCGCATTCCACGTAAGGCTTGACTCGTCATCAATAAGGGGGCTTTCCCGACAGTGGTTATTTGTGTCCGGGCCAAGTCCAGAGGCAAGGACTTGTGGGACTCTTTCCCCTCGTCACCATTTCCGCTCATAGTTCACAAAATTCGCAATTATACTCATAAAAAACTCAAATTATTACGTTAAACGCATCTGCGGAAAAATTAATAAATGGAAATTTATGAGCTACAAAAACCGAACCTTTGCAGTTTTTTGACCATTTTTCACACCGAAATAACATAATTTTGAGTTTAACTTAAAACTGAGGTTTGCACTTAAAATAGACTAAACACCACAAAACGCAAATTCCGAACTGACGCCATTGCTCACGCTGTCAAAAATACATCACCTCATTGCCTCGAATTGCCACTAATCATAACAATTATGACATTATATTTAAATTAACAACAATAATGATTAGTAACAACGCAAATGCTATAAACAACTAACATTGTGTCAAAACAAAACTTTTTAAAAATTAACAGAAAGAAGTGCCTGTAGTATTACCAAAAATTATACTTATATTGCATGCGACTTTTGTAAAATGGGATTTCGGTGAAATTATCGTTTCTAAACGTCAACTTGAAGCCGAGTTGTCGGGCCACGTATTTTGGTTCTTTTTTAAATGGCAAGTTGTGTTTTGGCGAAAAACCGTCAATAGAAACGTAAAACGTCGTGATCTACGCCCCCAAGATGGTAAGAAAGACTGGTTTAGGAGCTTTACTTGTGGTTAACCTAAATTTGTTAGCCCCTCCGTTTGGACATAAAACGCAAGCTTACGGCCCGCTCCGACCGTGTAAAATGCGTCGACTTGCACCCTACCGAGCCCTGGATGCTGTGTTCGCTGTACAGCGGCAATATAAACGTCTGGAACCACGAAACCCAACAATTGGTGAAAACGTTTGAAGTGTGTGATTTGCCAGTCCGAGCTGCGAAATTCGTCCCCCGGAAAAACTGGGTGATTGCCGGCTCCGACGACATGCAAATCCGCGTTTTCAATTACAATACTCTCGACCGCGTCCACGCTTTTGAGGCCCATTCGGATTACGTACGTTGTATTGTGATCCACCCCACGCAGCCTTACATCCTCACAGGGAGCGGTAAGTGCCCCAAAACTCGTTAAACTGTCCTAAACTGTCTTTCAGACGACATGCTTATCAAACTGTGGAACTGGGAGAAGGCCTGGGCGTGCCAACAAGTCTTCGAAGGCCACTCTCACTACGTCATGCAAATCGCAATTAACCCCAAAGACAACAACACGTTTGTGAGCGCCTCACTCGACCGCACTTTAAAAGTGTGGCAATTGGGGGCGTCCACCCCTAATTTCACGCTCGAAGGCCATGAAAAGGGCGTGAATTGTGTGGATTACTACCACGGGGGCGACAAACCCTACATTATTTCAGGCGCCGACGATCGTCTTGCCAAAATCTGGGACTACCAAAACAAGACTTGTGTTCAGACTCTCGAAGGGCACACTCAGAATATCAGCTCGGTGTGTTTCCACCCGGAACTCCCCATTGTCTTAACTGGAAGCGAAGACGGCACTGTTAAAGTCTGGCATGCCAATACCCACCGTCTTGAAAGCAGTCTTAACTACGGTTTTGAGCGAGTTTGGACGATTTGTTGTCTTAAAGGCTCAAATAACGTTGTTTTCGGGTACGACGAAGGCAGTATTTTGGTGAAAATTGGCCGCGAAGAGCCGGCTGTGAGTATGGACGCCACTGGGGGTAAAATCATCTGGGCGAGACACTCGGAATTGCAACAGGCCAACCTCAAGGCTTTGTCTGAGGGGGCCGAAGTGAGAGACGGGGAACGGCTTCCAGTCGCGGTTAAAGACATGGGGGCTTGCGAGATCTACCCTCAGACGATTCAGCACAACCCCAATGGTCGGTTTGTTGTCGTGTGTGGCGATGGCGAGTACATTATTTACACGGCGATGGCGTTGAGGAATAAGGCGTTTGGGGCTGCACAGGAGTTTGTTTGGGCGCAGGATTCCAGCGAGTATGCGATTCGTGAGGCGGGATCAACGGTGCGAATTTATAAGAATTTCAAAGAGAAGAAGAATTTTAAACCGGATTTTGGGGCTGAGGGGATTTTCGGTGGGTGGTTATTGGGAGTTAAGTCAGTGGCGGGTTTAACGTTCTACGATTGGGATAGTTTGGATTTGATTCGAAGGATTGAGATTCAACCAAGGGCGATTTATTGGTCTGATAATGGGAAATTAGTGTGTCTTGCGACTGAAGACAGTTATTATATTTTATCCTACGATTCTGATCAAGTTCAGAAGGCTAAGGATGAGGGTCAAGTGGCTGAAGACGGAGTCGAGTCAGCATTTGAGGTTCTAGGGGAGGTGAACGAGACAGTTCGGACGGGGCTGTGGGTCGGCGATTGTTTCATTTACACAAATGCTGTCAATAGAATAAATTATTTTGTTGGGGGTGAACTTGTAACCATAGCTCACTTGGATCGGCCATTGTATGTTCTCGGTTACGTCCCCCGTGACGACCGATTATACCTCGCTGATAAGGAATTAGGGGTTGTCAGTTATCAATTATTGTTATCAGTCTTGGAGTATCAAACAGCGGTGATGCGACGCGATTTTACTACAGCTGATAGAGTTTTACCGTCGATTCCCAAGGAGCACCGGACTCGAGTCGCACACTTCCTCGAAAAGCAAGGGTTTAAGAAACAAGCCCTTGCTGTTAGCACCGACCCTGAGCATAAATTCGAACTGGCTTTGGCTTTGGAAGACTTGAACACTGCTCGTGGTTTGGCTCAAGAAGCGAATAATCCGCAGAAATGGAGCCAATTGGGGGAGTTAGCCGCCTCGACAAACAATCTCCAGTTGGCGAAGGAGTGCATGCAGAGGGCGCAGGACTACGGGGGGCTCCTCCTCTTGGCGACAAGTTCCGGTGATGAAAACTTGGTTAAGACACTAGGGGAGAATACACACGCTGAGGGGAAACACAACTTGGCTTTCTTGTCGTTTTTCCTTTTGGGGGATTTGGATAAGTGTCTTGATATTTTGATTTCGACGGGGCGTTTGCCCGAAGCGGCGTTTTTCGCCAGGTCGTATCTTCCGGATAAAATATCTGAGGTTGTGGCGTTGTGGAAGGCGAAATTGTCGACGACGAATGAGAAAGCGGGGCAGAGTTTGGCCGATCCGAAAGACTACGAAAATTTGTTCCCAGGGTTGAATGATGCGATTGCAGCGCAACAGTTTTATGTCAAAGGGAGAAAAGGGTTGCCTTTGGCGAAAGATGCAAAGAAAATTACCCCAAATCATGAGAGGAATGTTGTACAGGAGATGAAGGCACAAGGGGGCGAAGGGTTTAGTATGCCAGTGGCACAGACGAGGTTTGTTTGTTGTTTTAGTTAATTTGAAATAATTTTGGGTTTTTAGCCAAACAAGTCAGAGTGAATATAAACCGCCCACAAGACTACAACAAGAAGATGAAGATGATCTTGACTTAGACTTGGAAGGAGTTAATATTGATGATAATATAGACACCACTGTAAGAAAGAAACTTGAGCTTGTTGTTTTTATATTGACTCGATTTTTTTTCAGGATATCAACATTGATGATGATTTGTTAAGTGATTAAAACTAAGAAAACACATTATCCAACATATATAATCGTTTATGTTTTCTATTGTCAAGTATTTTATGTAGGTATTCTGTAATAAAAGTTACAAGTTTCTTAATGTGCATTTTATTTACGAAGTGGAAAAAATTAAAATTTCAAAAATGGTCGTCTGTCAAAAAACAGTTATAGCACCGAAAAAGCATTAGTCTGAAAAGTATAAAAACAAATAAATTCTTAATTAAGTATTGAGTAACAAGTCACTAAATAGACTACATGACAAGACAGCTATTCTAGAAATCTTTTATACAATACCATTTGAAGGGGCAAGTGGAAGAATGTCAGTCAATCTCGACGAATAAAACCTTTGGTGCGGTTGGCATCACTGGTCACACGTTTATAAAAAATGACATAACCTCACTTTAGCAATGTCGAGACGAAAAGTGGTTTTTATCCACCCCGATTTAGGTATTGGGGGCGCTGAACGGCTGGTTTTGGACGTCGCAAGTGCCTTATCAAAACAAGGAAACGAAATTATTTTTCTAACAAATCATTTCGACAAAAACCACGCATTTGAAGAGCTCAAGAATGGGGAGTTCCCCATTGAAGTGTATGGCGATTGGCTACCGAGACACCTTTTCGGAAGGTTTCAAGCTCTCTGTGCTTACATAAGGATGATTTATTTAACATTTATCTACTCGATTTTTCATCGTAAGGAGCCAAAACCCGACGTTTATTTTGTAGATTTAATTCCTGTGGCTGTTCCAATTCTGAAATTATTTGGCAAGAAAGTGATTTATTACTGCCACCACCCGGACTTGCTCGCGAGTACTCCCGGAGGGGCTTTGAAAAAATTCTACAGAAAACCGATAAATTGGCTTGAGTTGAAGTCAACATCTCGGGCTGACATTATTCTAGTGAATAGCGAGTACACCGCGTCGGTTTTCCGCGAGACATTCCCCGAGATCAGGAAGACAGTCCAAGTGGTGTACCCCACAGTGGCCTCCTCGTACTTAAAAGCCGTCAAAAGCATCCAAAACCCAAGACTGATTCATGAAATCATTCCGGAAATACCCCAAAACGCCACCTGCGTCTTTCTCTCAATCAACCGCTTCCACCCCGCCAAAAAGCTCGACTTGGCCATAAACGCGATGGAAATTCTGCAAAGAATCACATCGGAAAATGAACGTAAAGGGATTTTCCTCGTCGTGGCCGGGGGCTACGACCCCCAATCGACCATAAATGCGACGTATTTCAGCGAGTTGCAGAAACTAGTCACCGAGAAGGGGCTGCAAGACAAGATTGTGTTCCTCAAATCACCCACAGATGACGTCAAAACCGAGCTTTTGATGGCTTGCGATTGTCTGGTTTATACACCAGTGAAGGAGCATTTTGGGATTGTCCCTCTTGAGGCCATGACAGTGGCTAAGCCGGTTATTGCGTGTAACAGTGGGGGCCCCAGGGAGACTGTCGACCACGGAAACACGGGGTATTTGTGTGAACCAACCCCCGATAGTCTAGCGCAATTCATGTACAGGATATTCAAGTCTGATAACAAGGAAATAGGGATTAAGGGGCGGAAAGTGTTGCAGGAGAAATTCTCAAATGAGAGTTTTGCAAAGACTTTGAAGAAAATCCTTGATAATAGTGTAAATAAGAAGTTTAATTAATTAACAAACTAAAAATAAATAAATTTACTTAGTCCATGAGACTTTGGGTATGTCAAAGTGTTCAGTAAGCCCGTCCAAATGTTGGTTGAATTTTTCCACTCTCTCCTTGTGTGTCATTGACGCTTTTTCCAATATTCTTTGAGTTTGCTACAAAACAACGATTAAACCACAACTGGGGGCAAAAATTCGGTTTCTTACCATTTTTTCTTGCATTTGTAGGAATGCAAGTTCTGCTTTTGTTTTTTGTCTCGCAGGCTTTGATTCCGGTGTCTCACTTTCAACAGTTTTGCTCACTTGATCCAACAACTTCTTACTTTTCTTCTTTTTTTTCTTTTTAATGCCGTTATCACCTTTTAACTGCAATTTTCCCTTGCAAACCTGTACATAAGGATCGTCACCTTGCGCCATTTTGTTTGTTTTGAGTTTTGACATTTCTAGAATTTTTTAATTGACGTGCACACAGTGTTGCCACTCGTATAAAACTTAAGTTATAAAAGGATGCGCCATATATGACAGATTGTGCGCGCGTCATTCAAAAACTCAAAATGGCAAGTGGTGATTACGAAAAAAAGGAATTAAAATGCCCTCCGAAAAATCCATGCGTGGTTATAAGACACCTCGTGGACTTAATAGAGCATCCAATTTCGCAAAATGCGACTGAACGACATTTGCAACTCCTGAATGAATTTTTAAATGCCTCGCATTACGCTTTTGTATCCTTTTCCCAGCCCCTTTTTAATGCCATTTCAATATTTTTCATTAATTAGTAAAACAGTGGCTTCAAGACATCCCGTTTATCATCCGCTTGTACGAAAGCATTGTCAGAAAAATTGAGAAAATCCCCCAGTACAAGCAACCTCTCGAATGCTTGTTATATTTCAGCGCAATTCCGCCCATGCTGACACGAAATTCAGACAAACTGGAGTTTGCAAGAGACTTTCAGGAATATTTTTCAGTCTTGGGTACAAAACGTAGACTAGTTTCTCATTAATAAAACCTCAACAGGTTATTTAATTTTATGCTTACATGACGACAACTTGAAAAAACTGGTCTTAAACGCAATCAGGAATTTATTACAACCGAAACTACCGATCGGTTATTGTTGCGCTCCGGTTGATTACTGTAAAGACGCGGCGGAAAAGAGCCGCCTCCCGGAAGTCCTATCCCAACTCCTGCAAGTCCTATCAAATAAATTATACCCCTGGCTACTAGACCTAATGTTTCTCCTTTGTGAAATTTCCCCAGGAGTTTGTGAAAAAATGGTAGCTGAAAACGCCATTGAATACCTCCTGCAACGACTGGAACCGACTTGGCACGAACGAGAGCCCCAAATTAAACCGAAAAACCCATCCTCGAAAGACAATATCCCGATCATGGACGACACTTGTTGCATTTTATGGAAATTGTTAAGTGTTGTCGATGGTGAAAAAAACAATGTTCAAAACCCGTCACTTTTCGCGTTATGGTCAGAAATAATTTTTCTAAAACTTGAAATAAATCCCCATTTCAGGAGTCTGCAATATGCCTTCCGGTGGTCAAATGTGTGTCCCGGACACCGCGTCAATCGAAACAACTTAACAGCACTTATTTTAAAAATCATGGTCACTTTTCCCACCATGGAGTTCATTGAAAGTGGTCTGGGTGAAGGTCAATCAAGCAATAAATTATTGTTATCGATAAATATCAAGTAGATATTGCAGTTTTGGCTCTGTCGACGGCCGGATTTGGATACCAGTCCAATTTGCAATTCACAGAGGATGAGCTCGACTTTCAATTCAAGAAAATTATCTGGGCTTGTTTACACTTTTTTCAACAATATGAGAGTACAGAGGTGTTGAAACAAAGTGATTTAGTTAAAGCATTCACAAAGTGTCTTTTTCACGAACACACAACGGCCAAGGACCACACTGAAGAGTTTTGCGAATTGACCAAAATTATACTCAGAGTCATACCCAAATATTTGCCATGTTCGATTGAGAAATTCATTGAAGTCAACGGGCCACTCAAGTATACTATCTATATACAGGTGTTCCGGCTAAACTCTGGAGTTGTGACAATGATATTAACTTCAATTATGGAGTTTTGTTAATTAATTTTTCCAACTGCACACACCAAAGAAAAGATCTAGCCTTTCTTTTACAAATGCCCAAATACGATTTCAAAATAATTAAAAATGGTAGAGTTAACAATTTTTGAAAAGGAAGGTGCAAATCCAAAAACTTTCAAAAAAGTCGAAATATTCGGAAAACGGTTAAACTTAGATATAGAGAAGGCTGATGAAAACGCTTTCAAAATCACTCGAGTGATCCAAAAACGCAATAAAAAATATAGCTTTCTATTTAAAATAACAGAGTTGACACTTCCGGTATAACCGAAAGTACTGCCATCTTGAAAATATTTCCATTAAGCAGGACCTAACCAGTTATAAATTTTCAGATAAATATCAATGTCACAACTCCCATATTACTTCTGTTTAACCGGAACAGCCTGTATCAGAGCCTTAAATTGTTAAAAAAATTACAGAATTGTCAAAGTAATCGAAGGATATTTGCTCAAAACATACGAAACGGAAGTTCTAGATTGTTACATATTTTGTTTGTGTGAAATGTTGTTGCAAAAAAACGCCAATGTTGTCAAAATTCTTGGCGAAAATAACACCAGCGACGTTATTCTAGCTGTTTGTGGCAAAATTTTAGCAGTCGGTAAATCCCTCACGAAATTCTACCAAAAAATCCTATCTCGAGGATTCACCATTTTGCAATTACTTTCGCCCACAAACGAGTCAATCACTTTATGTATGGATTTCCTGAATCGGGTGATTCACCCGAATGAGAATGACCCCCTCATTGACGTCAGAGTGACAGTTTGCGCCCTCCATCTCCTGTGGTGTGTCCTCGCCTCAAACTCCTCCTACTTCGATTTTGTGAAAAAGGGGGGTATTTACCTCCTACTTGACATCACCGCATTGTGTGCTTCCCCCGCGAAGGTTCTTTCGCTCGGTGTTTTGGCCGACACCGCACAGAGGGCCTTCGCCATCCCGTATTTCATCACTTGGCGCAAAAACGGGCAAAGATTGCTTCCGATGTTGATGGAGACCTTCCGAAATGAGCAAATGACTTGTCAAAGCATTGAAAATGGAAAAAATGTGTGGTTGGTGTTGTGCGCCGGTCAAAAAATTGCATTCCGGCCTGAATGTTTATCCAAAGAGCAGCTTTTGGAAAGCTGCAGGTGCAAAATTCACGCCATTTTGTACGCCTTAAAAGTGAAATTCAAAGAGAGTGTTGAAGTGGCCGATGAATACTACAAACTCTTCAGCGAAAAATTAAAACCAGACGATGAGGCAAGTATTATTATGGGGTAAAAGCTAGAAGTACACACCTGAGCGGAGACACAAATCAGTGGCGTCCTTTCTTAAATATTGCGTATCAACACACCAGCATTGCCAAATGAAATTTATATAGACAATATTGACATTTAAAAGATCTGCACAGAATTGAAAAAAATGGCTTCGTTTTGGAACAGTCAAAGATCCCTAGACATGGCAAATCCACTTCCAAAAACACCCCTCTTTTTTAAAGTGTACTCGTCTGAGACGCGTTTTGGTCACGCCCAGATGTGTACTTCTAGCTTTTACTCCACTCTACCACCTTGCAATTTCATTCTTGTTTTTTCAAGCTGACGATGTTATTCGCCGAAAACTACTCCTCGCTGAAGATGTGCCAGACTTGGATTCGGGTGTTTAAACAGCTACAAAGTGAGGGAATCACCCCTGTGGAGGACGACAACGAACATTTGAACGAAAAAATCGAACGGATTCGGCAATGGAAACACTACCTCCAATACAAAATCGGACAAATTGTCCAAAAAGAAAGCCAACAAGTATTTTATTCCTTTTTGGTAACAAAAATTCAACGATTTTTTGAGGACCACTTCAACGAGTTGCAAACTTACACAACTTTGAAAGAGGCAAGACTGTCGGACGCTTTAGACGGGTTGAAAGAATTGAGTTACATTTCAAACTGCACTGAAACGATGTTCCAAATTCGGAAAAAATTGAGACTGCAGAAAGAAGTTGAGGTCGTGCGCTCGAAAAACACCAATTTTCATCGCACTATTTGTGAGGGACTATTTACGGTATTATTTTTGTACTCAAATTGTTGCTTTTTTTTACAAATCTCTTGCAGAATGTTTACAATCAGAGTATCAGTATTCAGAGCAATGTTGTTTTTGATAAGAAAGACGATCAAAGTCCCCCCAGTCCCGTTTCATTGGAAGACAATCAACGATTGAGTGACTCAGTGTCTGAACATGATCTGAGTGAATATGAGTTGCAATGCTAATTTTATTTTATTAAAGATATACAAAAAATATTACGTTGAATTGTTTATAATGAAATAATTGACTTTTAAATTGGAGTTTTATTGCTAGAGAAAAATACACCGAGATCCACGTAAACAATTTTAATTGACAAAATATATCCACACCATATTATGTACAATAAATACACTGTGATACATTTAGAATAAGTGAAGGGTTAACAATGTGTAATGACTAGAAAAACACAGTCTGACAGTAAATATCACTAGAGAAAAACAATAACAAATAAATTATTAAAACTTTTTAATACTTGTGGTCAGTCCAAAGAAAGTGTAATAATAATAACCAGGCTTTCAAATAAATTCCGATCAAAGTAACCTGTGGCTGAAATTAAGTTGGCACCACCTAACTAGCGGACGCCCCTAGAGAATGAATGACAATCAGCGTTGCCAGCCAAAAAAAAAAAATCACCTTGTGAAAATTACCAAATTTACACTTATTTTCACCAGATTAAAGCCAAAGATTACGTAAAAATATAGTAGGATCTTTTTTATACCAATTTAGTGATCATTTTCGGTCGAATTCCGTTATTATTTTGTTTCGTTTTTGACAAAATTTTACAAAATAATTGCGTGTCTAGTTGAAAATGCAAAAATAATAAAAATTTCAACTTAATTTGTTGATGTTTAAGTTTGTTTTAGCAAAATCCTGTAAAATAAATAAACCTTTGGTTCAAAAACAAAGTAAGTTAAGTGAAACCGACCAAATTTAGTGGTTTCTCTATTTTCTTGGCTTATTTTTGTTTTAATTTTACTCAAAAACCAGATAAATAGAGTGAAACAAACAAAATAAGTAATATCAATTTCAATAATTTTTGTGATTTTTATTAGGCGTGTTTGGACAAGAGTGTGCAAAATAAATGAACCTTTGGTTCAAAAACAAAGTAAATGGAGTGAAACGAGCTAAAAATAATAGCAATTTCGATTTAATATTGTAATTTTTTAACTTGTTTTAACAAAATTGTTCACACATTTTTGTTTTTATCTCAAAAACGTGCTTTAAAAATTGGAAAACCGCGAAAATAATACCCCTTTTGGCTTATTTTGTTGAATTTTTAACTTGTTTTTAACGAAATTGACCTGACTTAACGAATGTAGTGGATTTTCGAAATTTTTTGGGGGGAAAATTTGGGGAAAGTTTCTGGTTTAAAAACGCTTGATAAAGATGCAAAAATAGTATCATTGTTTGGATCTGATTTACTATAATGAATAATAATAATTGAAAAATTAGTGTAGTGTAGTGTTTTAACATTTTTTTTTTCATTTCCAAAAAAATCACTTGAATTTTTCAAGCCATGATCAAATTATCAGGCTAGCATGTAAATTACCATCTGACAACACTGATGACAATTGACAAGTGTGAATTTGATAGTCAATGTTACCAACCTAATTTTAAAGTCATAGGACACTTCGATTAGAAATTAATTTGAAAGCTCGGTATTATCATTACCAGTCATAATTGGAAAAAATAACCGAGTTATTAAAGTAATTTGTTGCAAAATAAGTCATGATATGAAATTGGTTAAGATTTATGTGGAACAGTACTCAACTTTCCTTTGGTTATACTTGAGCTGATAATCTTTACCTTCATAGTGAAGCGGCGTTTGTGAGTCTTTCGGAACGACTGGAAAACAGCACCAGAGCACAAAAGCAACAAAAGCCACGATTGTACCAACTAATAGAATAAAATCCTCGATCGTCTGCAAAACAAACCGTAAATTTAGCCCCAAATGTGGCGCACTTACCGGCTCTTCACCCAAAAGAACATTGTTGATGAGATAGACGAAATCGTCAAACGGAGTAATCATGATCAAGAAGATAACCTGGTGCTACATGTTCCCGCAGCTTGCACAACCCCCTTCAATGCATTATTTATAAAAAAATAGATTGAAAAGAAAATTGACAACTGTAAACTTTTCTGACAGCTGTCAGTTGACAAAATTATTTGTGAACGCACCACAATGCGCAATCCTTGCAGCATTGCCAAATCTTCTACTTTTTATCCCTACAAGTGAATATTTTCAACTGAGGGGGATGTTGACCCACATTAAACCAATCTGCGACTCTTGTAATCGTAAATCATTACATTTTACGCTCAAATTTCGCCACGGAACGTCAAAATTGCGCAAAATTGTCGACGCGGCAACCTTGCACCAGGTAAGCCCCGTTCACGTTGCGTTAAGTAGGAAAGCCGTGAGTGGTGATTTATGACGTCAGTCATACTTAAGTTTTTAGTAGCAAAACAAAAATGGCGAAGTTATGTGTGGTGTGTGGTAGTTTGTGCGCGTATTTTCTCTTATTTCTAACAACTGGGGCGTTTTGTTCGGAATATGGTACGTTTTTGGGGGTCCTTTTGCCTCACAGAATGCTATTTTTCCACTTTTGACCACACTTTTGCGACAAGTTTCACGTTAAACCACATTTGGGTCTGAATTTGTGCAATTCTTTTTGCTCATTTTGTTTAAATAGCCGACGTTCACTTTCTTGTAATTAAAACCGAAAACTTGGTGACTTTGTGTCACAGTTTTCACCCCTGTTTTTGCGGCGCCTACTAAATCCAGTTTTCGTTGAGTTAAATTTACTTTGATTTTTTCCATGGTGCAAGCTTAATTTTCCACTAAAACAACGAAAAAGTCACTAAATTTTAATTGTTTTTTTTGCACTAAAAATATTTGCAATAAAACCTTGTAAATTATTGTTTTAATATCGCTGGCAAAAAACTGGTTTATACAACTTTACATATTACTTTAAGTACGATTTGTGAGAAAATAAATATATTGAGCAACACGTTGTGTATACAAAATATTTCGTTTTGTTATTTAAATTATTTATAACGTTGTCTTCCTGTTGATATAAAAATAAGACAATAAAAACAATAAAATTGAATATTTGTCAATTTTTATCGTGAATTCTTATCTATTTTTGTGTACGGTTTAATCTTTATTTACTGTAGATAATGCAAAATTATCAGGTTGCAGAAAAAATGTATGCAATTCAGGGGTAAATAGTGACTTTAAACCTTGTTATCTCTCCGCTGAGGGGTTCTATTTTTATAAACTACTTACCGCAATGATTCACTAGTTCCTTTATAAGTGAATTAAACTTATTTATATTTATTACTGAAAGGAAGTTATGATTGATCTGAAAGCCCTTTAATTACTCATCAGGTGTTAATTACATGTGACATGGTTTTGCAGAAGCTGAAACTTGCTTTTTTTCAGTTTTTGCAGGATGTATCTAATGCCAAGAGTAATAATGATAATGACGGTTTATTGCGATGTTTGTGCGCTGCCGTTTAGTAAAATGCCAGAGTAACAATAAAAATAAATAGCTCCATTATTTAATTATTGCGCCTTTACGTGGCGAAAATTTTGTTATTGACAGTTTCATTGAAGACACAAACTTCTAAAAAGGAAAATTAAATTTCAATTATTGCTGACGTGAATGAAGCAGAATTAGCGAGTGATTGTGAATGGATTCTAATCTCACCACAATGCAAGTTAAATTAATTACTTTGATAAATATATGCAAAACTATAATAAAATATATTCAAGTAAATTTTTCGTTCTTTTTCTACCAACAGGAAGGACAATTATTGCAAATGAATCAATTTTAAAAATTGACCTCTGATCGAAGTGTCAATCAGGGGCGTTCCTAAAAACACACTTTAAAGTCGTGTTCTAGTAATGCTAGACCAACTTAATTAATTCTAATTAATTTACGTGAGACGCAATTAACTAATTGGCAATTTCTTTGTGGCGAAAAACGTAAACAAAATGAAATGAAATGTGTATTGTAATCCTTAGGTCATGGCCTTTGTAAGAAAATTATAGTGGTTTGCCATTTAAAAGAAATAAAAATTTTGCAGAACCCAAAATCAAAATAAAAATTCGAAAAGTTTTATTTTTGATAAAACAACACATTTTTGTGGTGCTTTATCATTCATCAATTAGTTTTTTCAATAAATAAGTAGTTTAGGCAAAAAACGTTTGGTTCTATTTTTGTGTTCACCACTGGTATATGTATCAAGGAACAAAAGTGGAGATCATTGGGATATTGAAATTACTTACTTTGGATCGATAAATTAAGTAAAAAAAAACATTGACGCATGAAAAAATTTGACGCAAAGTAGGGGTCCAAAAGTTCATCCTTGCGGAACACCCTTTCCTATTTTGTAACTGATTTTCGGTTTACTTTCTTTTTCTGATTCGCAGTGATTGAAGAGAGGGAAATACGCCTTTTTTCTCCTTCATTGTTTTCCTAATGTGCAATAATTATTTTACCGTTAGCGTGAATCAGCGCAAAATGTGGATGTTATTCCTCCCTACGTGTCATCTCAATTATTGAAGACGGAAAGTAAATCAGGTCAATGCAAAACAGCGAATTGGATAAAAGCTGCTATTCAAATGACACGAAATTTGTATTCATCATGTATTCTCGAAGCTGCTTCCGGTTTTTCAGTTATTAATCGTCTCGTGCATGTACTTAATTAATCACCGACCTCACAAGAAACCGAAAATTTTTCGAAATTATGAATGAACCGCAACTATGATTTCCATCACAAACGAGGCTAACGACACATGAACCATGTCAGCATGAAATTTAGTCAAAATACGGTTACGCTGGTCGAATCTGACGATTATTTTATATTTATGTCGTAGCAACAGCACAACGACCTCTCCTCTCGCTCTAACGAGGTGTAAAAAGACCCAAATTGCAGTGTTACCAGATAAATTTTCAAATGTCCCTAGATCTTGACAAAAAAAATTCTAGATTTCCGTAGGCCCCTCTCATAATACATTACATGCATTAAAATAATATAATTATATTCCAGTGTTTGCATATACTAGGTGACTCGAATGATAAAACGAAACAACATTTGTCAATAGGCAACAGGCTTGAAGCACGAATTCAAATTTAAAAAACGAGTGGCGTATCCACGAGTTATAATCGCAGGCATGCAAAATGTTCGGGGGAAATACCAATTTTTATGTAGCTAGTTTAAGAAACAATGATTTTCATAAAAATATTTTTTTTTAATTCTAAACAATATTTTCAAAACTAGTTTTATTTTTTGTCAGTCATAAAAATTTTCCCTAGATTTAACAAATTCTCTTTTTTCCCTAGAACATAAAAAATTTCCTAAATGTAGGGAATATTCCCTAGGTCTGGCAACCCCAATTGCCCAATTGAATTTTTTTTTTTTTTTCAGCTTACTACTACGAAACGGATTTTCAAGATGACAAAGCTGAATATGTTTTATCAAAGCAATTGTTGGAGGAAGTATCACAACGGTTTAGGAGAGACGCCCAGATTGAAAACAACCAAAGCAATGCAAGGAGCCAAAACACGACACAACCTGTTGTAAGTTGTTTACTATCTAATTAAACCCAAAATCGGTTTATTTATTTTCAGAATGCCACTAATGTGGTCAATGGGAATAAAACGCAAAGTGACAACAAAATTTCAACAGCAAAAACGGTAGGTTGTTTTCGTCGATTATGCAAAATTCTGTTCTTGGCGCTATATTATTGCAAATAAATAAAATATATATGGAAATGAATTCCTGTGGAAAATAACAACTCTGATTGGCAGTCGTTAGATTTAATAAATGCACAATGGCGTCTTTGTGTTAATTTAATTTGTTGCTGTTGAATCGCCGATAATTGATTTCAGGTGAAAGTGATTTTTTGTGTTTAAAAATTTGCAACGTAATTGGATTATGGTGATTTTAATCGTATGATTTATGTCTCTTTTCCTCGTTTGAGTAATTACACCGTTGATATAACAATTATGATTATTAACTAATTGATTATGTTATTACTCTTTAAAAGTAGGTAGTAACGATTTTTACGATGCGGGATTTTTTCTAAATGTAGCAAGGTCGAATATTATGTCGCTGCGGAAAATTAACTGTTGTTTTCTTCTCTCATTTCTTAAAAATTTACACAGAAGTTTCTTTGTCTAGATTACAGACAAATGACCCTAATTAATACATTTCGTGTTCTATTTATTTACTTTATTTTTAGAAACTAGTTTTATTTGCTTTAGAATCTTTCAAAATACAAGAATGATAAAAATAACTTTACTTTTGACTGTGCATTTTTTATTTTTTCAAAATGAATACAACAATACAAACAAAAATGAAAACGAAGTTGCGGTCAATTCCTAGTGGCCACATTTAATTTATTGCAAAGTTGGCAGCTATCTATAGTGCGTTGGTTGTGTCTATGTTGGCAGCAGAAGTAACTAAATTGAATCAAAAGTTGTAATTTCTATAATCCTACCTTTTCACCATTGTCATGTTTGATATGTTTTTATAAAAAATGAATGTTTAATGTCGGATTTACACACTTTGAAATTAAGTTGGTGACATAAATTGTTTAATTCTAATGTCAAACTTATATAGTCATTCATTTTCGATGGGTGGCCGCTGACTTAGTCCCTTAAATAAATAAATTAATATTTCTAGAAAGAGCATTTTTTTAAGTCAGTGATGTAACACATTTGAAAAATACACATTTCTTATGAGGAGAAATTTGGGCAATTCATAGCTCTATCTCTAAAAAATATTTTCAATAATAATTTTAGAAATTGGGAAAGACGACTAAAACGGCAACGAATGCAACCGCACCGAAAGTCCAATTGGAAAGTCTGCAGAAGAATTTGGGCGAAAATGGCACCGGAATCCGGAAAAACATCACAATCGACAAACCCAAAACCCTCCCCAATCAAACCCTTGATAAATCGGTTTTACAAAATATAACACTTCCGAAAAACGAAACGGACGATGGAGAGCTATCAATTGATAGTTTCCCTCCTGACGCCAACGAACTGAACAAGACTTTGGAAGAACACCACATCACTAATTCAACCGAAGTGAGTAGTGAAACTTGTACAAAAAAAACCTAATATTGTTTTCAATAGGACACTCACTTGTATTACAACAGTTCACTCGTGACTGATCCCGAATTGAGCCGTTACTATTGGGTCGACTTGGAGAATTCGACGGATACAAAAGTGAACGAATTGTTATCAAGATCGCACCGGCGAGCCGCTGTAAGATCAAAAATAACCACAATGAAGCCAAACAATAACTTTTTTCTACTTTGTCTAAGAACAACTTTATCATTTCACTTGGTTTTTGATAAAGGCTCTTATATACGCAACTTTTTACTACCAAAGTTTTGTAACTTGACCAGTACCACAATGAAGTGACAAACTAATATTAAAAAAAAAACATAGTTTGTATTGGTGTTCTCGCCCACTTTCTAGCTCCAGTGGCGTGCACTTCCATCGTCTTGCATTATTTAAAACTCCAACAAACCATAATTTGTATCGGTGTTCTCGCCCACTTTCTAGCTCCAGTGGTGTGCCCTTCCATCGTCTTGCATTATTTAAAACTCCAACAATTTATCAGTTCTATTAAACTTAAAGTAGTTCGGTTGGTGTTTGTCAATAAGCTAGCAAGTACAGTGCGATTAAAAAAAATGAGTAGGCGGTGATTAAAGTCCTTCAGATGGCAATCCTGATATCAAATGTCAGTGGAAACTTTGACAAGTTTGCCTTTCATTCATTTTGAGTGAAATAATGTTCACTTTAGAGCAGAATTTTTTTATTTTTGCAAGTTATTACAAAAATGCTGTATAAGACGAAAACGCTGAATGGTCTTTTTCACTTTCAGTTTGTGTGGAAAATTTCCAGCCTAGATTCCCAGCCAATGTGTTGCCAACTGTTGAATTTAATCGACGCCTCTAGTTTATGTATTTATTTTTTATCGCACGGTAGTTTTTGATTTAAAAAATAAACGACATAATCTCACAGTGGACTTAGCTCCGGTGGGATGCATCTACCCTCGTTTCGTATTTCAACAGCAACAATTCAATACTTTATAATGAATTAATTGACTTCTTGCGTGCAATTCTAAATTTTTTGACATCTGAATTTAAATTGTCAGTGCTAGGTGGGTACCAATCGAAAATACAAAATACAAATAAATGCAAAAATCCCTAAATAGTAAGATTTTTCAGTTTTATATTTTTTTATTGAAAAAATGAAGGCAAAATAGAAAAAAAATCGTATATTACTCTTATTTTATAAGAAACTTGTATAATAATATACTATTATGTTGCAGACGGTGCAATTATCTTTCGACTTTCCATTTTACGGTCACTTAATTAAAAATGTGACAATTGCAACGGGCGGATTTTTATATACCGGTGATTATGTCCACTCATGGCTCGCAGCCACCCAATACATAGCCCCTTTAATGGCAAATTTCGACACAAGCATTTCCAATGATAGTTACATCAAATATATCGATAACGGTACTGCTTTCACAGTAGAATGGGAAAAAGTCGTCTTGCAAGATAGAGCAAACCAAGGAGAGTTCACTTTCCAAACCACGTTGTACAAAAACGGCGACATTGTTTTTGTTTACAAGAATGTGCCGTTATTTATCAAAAATATCACCGATGATCATCATCCTGTTAAAGTGGGACTTTCAGATGCCTACATTATCGACCGGACGATATTTTGTAAGTCACTTGAAACACTACTAACAAGCAGTAAATGGTGTTTTTAGTGGTCCGCCGGAAGACAATTTATGAGTATCACAGGATTAATTTCGTTAAAGGAGATATCAGGAACGGGACTGTTATCTATCTGACAGCGTTACCAACTTGTTTGCAGAATGAGGATTGTCTCTCGTGTGTCACCAGGAAAGTTTCTACATTTCAGGTGACTAGAATCGAATTTTAGCACAAAATTAACAAATTTTTAGTGTTTTTGGTGTCCGATTATCAAGCGGTGCTCGAATGGAGTGGATCGTAAACGACAAGACTGGTTGGCGAATCATTGTCAGAGTAAGAAATACAATGAATCGATTTGTTCTCACATAAGTGGGGCCGATATTTTCGATGCTAGTAACATTACATATGTGCATGACGCCAATGAATTTCAAAGACAGTTAGAAGAGTACAACAATGCGAGTGTCTTGGCGGCCACACATCCCGTGAGGATGGGAGTCTCCAGTATTGTGGCGATTTTGTTTCTCATTGCAATGGTGGCAGGTCTGGCGGTTTGGATACTTTATGCCTACAGGAATCCTCACACGACTAGCGGACAAATCCTCATAAGAGTAAGTCATTGTTGGGGATTTTGCGTTTTTAAGGTTGTTTTCTGCAGTATCGGCCGAGTCAGTGGCGGTGGCGGAGGGGCGAAGCCAGATATACAGCGGCAACAATACACATGTGACGGGTTTTTGAAGATTTTTATCCTTCCATCTTAAATTTATGTAGGTTAACCACTTTGCATGAATTAAATGCAATTTAAAATAGGACTGAAGGAGTTTATATCGCTGTAATATCTCTATTTTACCATTAATGATGCTTTCTGTGATAAAATTGAGGAACGTCCAAAATTATGAATAATTAGAACTATGCCTTCTAAAGTGCCTAAGTATTAAGTAAGACGTTATAAAACTGATTTTCTTTACTTTTTACTCTGTTTTATTTGTATTATTTCTGTATATACGTACAATAAGATTAATAGAATCCTTTTCTCAGTATTGCTAGTAGGAATCTGTTCTAAAATTTTAAATTCGGACCAACTTTGGTGGCCTTTTCATGTTAACGGACGGACATACAAATTTGAAACATTTTTTTATTATAATGTAGCGTTGTAGTGACTGTTATTTTTCAAATTTGCTTGTTAAAGACGTAATTAAGTCCTTAATAAATTTTATACCTACTGTATCAATTTTTCAACTTTTCGCTTCTCTTCTTGATGTGTCTTTCATGTCTACGCCTCATTTCCAGTATTTCCTTCATTTCCTCCTTGTCCTCGTCCTGTAACACTTTATCAAAGTGGTGTTATCACTAGTCCAACTTACAGATTGGTTCAATCTTAACACCAAAGCCCGTCTTCCATCGGACATGGGTTGCGAGTAAACCATGAGTTGTTTTAAACGCTCAGAGGGGCTGACTCCTCTTTCAACAACCAAAACAATTCGGGCCCACTAGAATTTAAACTTGTACTAAATGTTACCCAAAATTTGATTTATCACTTGTCTTTGCCACTCATTTCTTGTCTCTGCAATTTTTTGATAAGTGTTGCCCATCATGGCTATCAGCATGTTGATTAGCAGAATAGACACGATCACCATAAACACCACAAACAGCATCTGGAAAAAGTACTTCAAACGTGGCAAAACCGTGGCAATATACCTTGGCTTCATATTCGTGGTCGGTTTTTTCGAAGGCTGTGTAATAATCACCGAAATTTGTCATTGACATTAGAAACATCGCCATGATCGACTCAATGGGGGTGGAGATGGGGTTAGTGGCAGAGTCGTCAACATCGTCAGGGGTTAGTGGGTTGTCAAACGACAAAAAAATGATGTAAAACGCTGAAAATTTGCGATACCGGTAATTCTTATGGAGAGGCAATGTCTCGGGTCATACCTTGCGAAAAACCCATGACAAACACGAGATAAATCGACGCAAATCGTATCAAATCGCCCATGACCATTCTGTAAATCATCACGACGAAGGGCCCCACGGTTTTGAAGCCCCGACAGAAGAAGAGGAAATACGGTGCTGTGGTCAACATAATCACCACTGCGACAATATCTTCAAACTCGTCGAGACAAGCTAGACGCAAACACGGTACTGTTAACATCAAAATGCACGAAAATAGAAACATGACTCTTGAAGGTGCAGTCATCTGGAAGGGAAAGGGTAAAACGTGAGGAGACAACATTTCAGAGTTACAAGATTTTCAAAAAACATTCGACCTCCCAGAAACCGGGCTTCGCGGACTGCAGCTGCCAAATAAGCGAAAGCTCCAACAACCATCAAAACCTCTGCTGTAAATCGGGTTTTAGCTTCGGGCGAATCAAGTTGCATCAAGCGACATTCCTCCTGTAAATTATCCCACCACTCTTCCATATCACTGTCGTCGTCATCCAGCTTTTTCCCGAAGGGAATCGACGTGATATTCTCCCATTTCAGGGAAGAATTTTCAGCGTTAGGCTGCGGAATAGTCACATTAGTGACGTTCACCTTTTGTGGAGGCCCTGGACGCAAAGTAAAAGCCACTAGCGAAATCAGGAAATAGAATGCAAAAGTGAAAAACTGTTTATAGAATTTGAATTTGACAAAAGTGTTCCATTTTGCGTTAAGCAAGTCGATTAAAACACCATCCATTAACTCCAAATGTTCATCTTTGTCCTGCAACCAAATCTAAGTCTTGAACACCAAAGTGGGAAATGTCACCTACACCAAACACCACAAGATTTAGAGCAGAAGTTTTACTTATGTTCCCGGTTTCAATGTCAATTGTATCAATTTGCGACAAAGGATACGCAGCACAAGTGATACTACCTGAAATTTTGGGTCAAACTTCGCAAAATTGGTTCAAAAGTCACCTATTTGCCAGTAAATTTCACGTTCAAGGTTCAAAATGTGGAAAAACATGTCGATTCTCGCAAGTCTTGCGGCTAATGTTAGTGGGGTGAGGTTCAACACGTTTCGAATGGATAATTTCGCCCCGACCTCGTAAGCCATATCGAAAGCCTCCTGGAATTACACAAAATAGTTTTTAAATTTGTTATTGTCATTATCTATGCTGTTAACGATTACCAATTTTTGCAAAATCACGAGCAAATGCAGGACCGTGTTCCCATTCGTGTCTTGGGCGTCCGGATCTGCCCCTCTGGCCAGCATCAACCGGAAACTCTCCTCCTGTCCCAAACACGCAGCAAACGTGAGTGGGTATTCCCCCCAATACACATACCTAAAAAACCCAAAAGATGAATACGTAATCGAACTTTGTGAAACCACAAACCCTTCATAATTCGTCTCTGGACAGACATTGACCCACTCGTGGTCCAAGGAGTCAAACCGGGAGGATTTTTGATCCTCTGGACACATAAAATTGCCACAGCAGCGTTCCTGGATGTTAACTCCCGAATCCAGAAGAAATTTTACCATCGAAGGATCCTCGTTTACGATAGCAATGTGCAAAACGTTCTCTCCGTAGTATTCATCGCACATGTAAATATCATTGATCAGTTTGGGGTAAAATCGCAAAAGTCTTTTTGCGATGTCGGCATGCAAAGAAGTGGCGTTTAGTAAACACAAGTGCATTATGCTCTCGCCCACAGCACCACGTTCTTTAATTTTCCAGCAGACGTGACGGTACAAATGCGGATCTGGAGATTTTACATTAAATTGAGTTTTTTTTGCAAATGGGTTTACTTTTTTGATATTCTTCTTCGGTGATTTCCGGGCCTTCGTCGTCGATTTCGAACTCCTCAGGGTTTTCCATTGCTTTCAATTGCGGCATCTAAAGAATTAAATTGCAAAGTTGAAAATTTCAAAAATTGTGCATACCCATTTGTGACGAGGGCGTTCTTTGTTCCGCAACAGGACCAAATCCGATATTGCGAAATATCTCCCTGCCCCCTTATTGTATAAAAAGTGCTCCACCTAAGAAACAATGCAGTTTTTCCCGACTTTTATGTCATTTTCTTTACCTTTGTTTTTATCGCGTGATCTAATTCTGCATATTGCTTGTTTTGTGTGGCTCGTTTCATTAATTCCACTAGGAGGCCTCCCCCTTGTCGAAAAATAATAATACTACCAATTTCTGTGCATAAATTTGGTGTTCTTACCTTTTAAATCGCATAATTTATAAATTGGTTGGACAGAAGCACCAGCTTGCTTCTTGACACCGCTAGTAACGTTGCTCTCAGTATTGCCCATGTTAGCGTTTTTTTGTGGGGCTTGTCAATTTAGAAACGGTCTTTTTTATCAATTTCTTCCAAACAAATACTACTTTTTGATAGAAAATCATCGTAAGTGCAATTTTATTGATCAAACATTTAGGTTTCTATGAACGCATTAAAGAAAAACTGCTCACAAATAAGTACAAGAAAAAATATTTCGTAATTAAATTTACCGATTGCGTGATTTGTGGATGGACTTGCCATTTTGGTTAATTAGGCAATTATGGATGTTTTCATTTGTCATTTAATAATTTCGATCTACACCTAAGGTACTTATTGGAAGGAAAGAATTTTTAGAAAAAACTAGAATCTCTAAACTAAATCAATAGTTTTTTTTAAATCAAAATATATCCAATTTTTATACGTTATTTATGATGTATTTATTTATAATAAAACATTTTGAGTTTTTCAAGCATAATTTCATTGCATTGCGATTTGGTCACGCATTCTCCACTTCTCTCATCTCTGAAGAGTCCTCTTTTGCAAAAGCATCCTGGAACGCATTGCAAAGTGCAAAGTCTTGGTTGCGGTTGAGTGCATGTGAAAGGACAAGCATAACCGCAATGCTTATACTCTTCACCTTCTCGTGAACAATCAAATTTAGTTTCACTCCCTAGAACTTAAAAAAACTTAATTTTTTCAAATATTGAAAATTTTTATAATTACCTGCAACAGTTGCAGCAAAAGCCAACAAAACAAAACTTGAACCAAACATCATTATGATTTAGGAGTTTTCTGTACAATTCAATATTAAACACTTTTATATGTTATAGAACTCATAAAAATGGGTGATATTACAAAACACTTTTATAGAGTAATTCCACGCCAAAACGATCACTTTTAAATCTCATTGTTTGTTTCCCATTTTAAAATAAATTTCAGATATGTTATAGAACGTATAAAAATAGGTGTAGTATTTTACAGTTTTTTATTTTTTCAATGTAGGTATATTGAAAACACAGGATTGTACAAATGTACTTCGAAGCAAAAAAAATTATCTTAAGAACAAATAAAGATTTTTTTTAACAATAGAAATAAATAGGTACTCTAGGGACGTGGTAATGTATGTATTCCAAAAGCTTTTTATTAACAAATAATTTAAAAATATATCGTTTAAACAAAACAAAATTACAATTAAAAATGGGTGATATTACAAAACACTTTTATAGAGTAATTCCACGCCAAAACGATCACTTTTAAATTTCATTGTTTCCGATTTTAAAATAAATTTGAGAAATGTTATAGAACGCATAAAAATAGGTGTAGTATTTTACAGTTTTTTATTTTTTCAATGTAGGTATATTGAAAACAGGATTGTACAAATGCACTTCGAAGCAAAAAAAATTATCTTAAGAACAAATAAAGATTTTTTTAAACAATAGAAATAAATAGGTACTTTAGGGACGTGGTAATGTATGTATTCCAAAAGCTTTTTATTAACAAATAATTTAAAAATATATCGTTTAAACAAAACAAAAATACAATTATGCAGGTTTTTACAATTCCCAAAAAGAAACGCTAAATTGGGGTAAAAAGTCAAATTCAACATTGTTTTTGATGTTTTGGTAGAAATACCGGTTTTTGTTGAAAAAAAATGCATAGAAAACAGGAAAATGACTAAAAAAACTAGGCATAATAATCTGAGTTAAAAAGTTAACATATCAGACTACTAAAATTAAAAAGAAAACCATCAATGCCAGAGAGGTCCCAAACGGAATAGCTGAAAATTTGTTCATTTTTGGTTGTTTATTTTTAATTGCTTTATGGATAGAAATTTTATTCTAAGAAAAAAAAAGAATTCAATAATAGATTGAATTTAATTAAGATGTATTGAAATTCGATACCTTATTAAAATGAAAATCTAAATAGAATGAAAACATTCTAATTGATTAAATAATTCAAAATGATACTATAATTTATTTTGATTCTTGTGGTCAAAAAAGTCTGGAAGTTAAAAAATATCAATTTATTTGGAAACAAGGTAATGAAAAAAAGAATACAGCCCAAATGATCAAACATGTGTGGTTATCTCTCTAATTTTTTGAAACTGACGTGTGATCAACCCACATCTTACTTTCAAACTGATATGTGTATTGATAAAATCAATGTTGTTTAAACAATTATCAGGAACATCTTGTTTGTGTGATATTATTTGTCCTGCACGAGATTATTTTTTTTAACAACTCAAATTCTTCTTTATCAGGAATAACTTAAAAAACTTGACTTTCTATTTTAAATTGAATTGTAGATAATATTCTCCTTTAAATTTATGGATATAAGATACCTGTCAGTTTGTATGGATAATTCAATTGATATAAGTTGAGAGCAATGCAAGTTGACAGAAAACATCAACCGTGGACAATAAGGGGTAACCAACCATAAGCATTCAAAATTACTTCTGAAAATTCTAGTTACAAATAACATAAAAAACGTAATTTTCCTAAAAGTTCAAATCCTAGGTGGTAATTTCTTCTTGATAAATCTGTAGAACACGACAAAGCTCATCGATCGTGACCCATTGGACCAATTCCACCTTTGTCGATTATATACACACAATATCGAACGAAAAAACGTAATTTGTATTCATAGTACATATAAATATAATAATATACTTATAAATAGAAAATATTTTTATTGATGTGACAATGTATAAAAGAAATCACTGCAAAAAATGAAACAATTTGTTCTAATTAAATAAAACACAAGTAAAGAAAAATTCATGAATAATAAAAAAAAAGACTAAGTTACTTTTTCTTTGCTTTTCCTTTCCCCTTTTTCTCATTTTTGCTTGTGGCTTTACCCCCCTCATCCGCTTTTTTACCTCTAGCAGCTGGTTTCTTTTTCACCTAAAGCAAGTTAATTAACAACCAAAAATACTCTCGCAAATTTGCTTTACCTTTATCATCGCATTATTACTGATATCGTCATCATCTTCATTATCAGAAATTTCATCATCTTCATCTATCAAATCACTTTCCAAAGCGGCTATTTTCTTCTTGGAAATTCCAGAAGCAGGAGCAAATGGTAATAAAGTGACTTGCTTGTTGTAAGCGCGAGTAAATGCGCTTTTTACCTGTAAATAACAACACATTAATGATGGTAGTAATTTTGATAAAAGTTACTACTTTTGAATCTATGCTATTCATTGGATTTTCTTTTGTTGACCACTGGCACAGCTCCAACAAACTATCAACATCTTCCCTCAGAAGATTATAATCCTTCATTACAGCAACCGCTTCATTGACTCCTTCCAATCCCTTCTCCTGCAAAGGTGACAAAATTGCATTCCGCAGCGGGACCAAGTAGTCCAACATAACAGCCAGTTTGGTCGCAGATGCGCTAAAAATATATATAGTCTATTAAAATATTCATGTAAGCAAGAATTTGAAAACAATCGAGGTTTTCTTTAATATTTGTATTTAAGAAAAAAAAAATGTGGGGAATTTTGTGTCAGTTAGTGCCAGTTACTACCAGTGGTAGTGTCACCAACATAAGAACATAAAATACCCTATGCTGTTAACGCACCCTTACCTTGTTCGTGTGTGTAATTGCAACTCACTTATCAACCTCTTAAACTTATTTTTCTTGGAATTCTTCCCCAACCACGAGGGGAAATTGATTTTAGACTGAAAATCACCAGACATGTAGTAGCCTGGAATAACGGACGAGAAGAAAGCCTGCGAATCAAGCAACGCCCAATTGTTACTCCTTCTGATTTTTGAGTCTATAATGTCCCCCATACTGATAGAATCAGCCGCTAAAGCCGCTTTTATTAATGCCTGTTTTCTGAAAATTTTAATCGTAAAAAAACACACAACAGGTGGAATAATAATACTCTGAGCCTTCGGGTTGAACCTTAAGATAATTTTCCTGAACAAAAAGCGGCCCCAAACTATAATCAAAGAAAAATAATCTCGCTCTGTCGACAACGCTCATATTCTTGTGTTCGCTTTTGGTAAAAACAGTTCGACAAACCTCCCACGGCCCCATAACACTGTCTTTCTTCGAAGCTTTTGCCTCCTTCTCAGCCACCGCAAACGTGATTTCGTTTTTAGTTGCCCCCAATAGAGCTAAATGGTTGAGTGTTTGTCGAACATCACAGCCTGTTCCCACAATAATTTCTGTCAATGCTTGTGAAGAAATATCAATGCCTTCTTTGCAACAAATCGACATCATTGACCCCTGAAACCAAATTTATTCCAACTTGTTTTACTCGATTTCGAATTACCTTGATTTGTTCAAGTTTTGGTTTTGTAAACTTCAAATCGTAGCAGTAGTTGACAAGTGATCGAATTTTTTGATGATTTCGGTCGTTGCACATGCAAATTATCGGAACATTAGAATTTTTTATAAGTTGAATGAGTTCTTGGATACCACCACGGTCTTCGTTCCCCGCCATTCCATCAACTTCGTCCATTAGCAAAACTCGGTTGCGGTGCACTGTCGCATTGCCTGAAAAAAACTAATTTTCAGACAGAATAAAACAATAATTTAATAATAAAGCGCTTTGTTAATATATTACAACAAACCTGTTGCAAATCCAGCGATTGTTTTAGTGCTCAACAACTGTGAAACTTCTTCATGTAACAATTTCTTGCTCCTCGTATCCGAGGCATTAAACTCGACGATATCCAAACCTAGATCCTTGGCGACAAGTGTTGCAGTTGTAGTTTTGCCAACACCGGGGGGACCACTCAACAACGCGCATTTGAAATAAGCGCCATTATCATTCGTAGTCCAGGGAGTCGGTCGTGGTAACTTTTTTCTGACTTTAGGATCTTGGTTTCTATGCCAATTTATAAGCCAGTTTTTCAATTTGAACAAATTGCTCGATTCGCCTTGTTGCCCTATGACACCCTTCAGGTTTTGTGGCTTGTATTTTTCAGGCAAGGACAACTGGAGTGCCTCCACTTCAGAAGGAGGAGAAACCGTTTTGACTTTTGAACTCTCTGAAATTTTACTGGTGCTAGGTTGACTGTAAAAGGTATCACTTTTAATTTTCTTTTCAGAGAGACCATTGGTTGAGACAGTGACACTCGTTTCAGTTTCTTCCTTTTTCTTGTTTTCGCTTTTGTCACTTTTAATTATTTCTTCATTGTGTGTGATAGGTTTTGGTTCATTATCTATATCAATGCCTAAATCTTCGCTGTTACACGACGTATTCTTCTTACAATATTTCGGTTCGATTCCCGATTTTGTTAGAATCATGTCTAGAAGCTCATCTTCGGAAATATTAGGTATGTTGTAACCATCAGCTTTTGCAAGTTTTGCTGGCCCTGGTTCTTCACCCACGACAACATAATTTACTTTTCCTAGAAAATAAATAAATTTGGAGACACTTTATATTAAAATTTACAATTATTATCTTTCATCAAAATTTTGCAAAAAAAATCAAAGCTGAGTTACGTTTTTACTCATAAAATAGAAAATAAGTTTTCCATATGTACATAAAAAGCTATAAACATTCAAATTCTAATTTGGTTTTTAAGATAAACGCAGTGAATGATATTTCCAATGTGATTTTTTTCTATGGCAAATTATCTGTCTAAAAATTGTGGTAATAAAATCAAGACTTTGTCTTCACAAAAGTTGTCATTTTCTTCCAAGCACTGTCAACATTCTTAGAATAAGAATATTTTGTTTAATAAAACATAATTTCTTCATCGTTTCCTTAAACATTTGTTAATTAATAAAACTATGGTACATTTGTGCACAAACATTTAAACCAATTTCAACTAAATAAATAATTATAACTCTTCTGAAACACTTCCGGTTGAAAAAACTACAATTTATTATTGGTAATTTTAAGATGATGGTGTTAATATATTACTTTTCTTTATTTAAATAAAGATAAAAATCTTACTTGACACAGCGTTTACAACCCGTCCCCCATGTTGTTTTACTAGATTTGCAAACCCTTCTGAATCAAGCGAATCTAAAACCCCTGTTTTCAGGAAACACAAGTTTTTCAGACAATCTGGCTTTCCCTGAAAGTAAAATAAGAACAATTAAGTTTTTTACACTTTGAAAAACGTACTTTTGGCAGTTCTTTAATTCCCCGATGTTTGGGTTCCCCTCTGTTCAGATACTTTTGATAGAGCATAGCTGAGTACCTCTTCTTCTCATAAGCTTCTTGTCCTGGATCAATACCAGAGTCTGAATGCTCAATTTTCTTTTTCTTAGGTGTTTGATCTGAAAATAAGACATTAGTTTTCGTGTGATGCAAACCCCTTGAGACTAACTATCACTTGAAGAATCATTTCTTGATCTTTTCTTTACACTTTGTTGAGGTTGCTCTGAATCTGATTTTTTTTCATTCCGGAGAGTACCCTCAATTGAGTCAATAAGATCAATGCTCTGTTCAAAAATATCATCATCTAAATCTTCCAATGTCTTGTTGAAAGCGCTATTTTTATGAATTTCTTTCTCATCTATCTTCACAGGGGTTTTTGGGACATCAACCTTACTCTGTTTTATAGGGACATTCTTAAACACCTCCGCCACATTCACCGGTTTTAACTTAGGTTCTTCAGTCTTCACTTTTTTAGGTGCTTTTTTCGCATCTTCGTCCGAGTCTGAATTTAAAACTTCACGTCTTTTCGGAAGTTTCTTCTGTTTGGTCTCTGGGGTAGCAGAGACCACATCTTCATCATCAGACTCTATTATGCGTTGTGGCTTCTTCTTAATTGCAGGAGAATCAACTTTTGGGGAATTTGCATCAGATTTCTTTCGAATTACGGTGAAAAATGAACGGATATCCTAAATTTTAGGTTATATGTGCATTTGGGCAGAAATACAAGTTTCATGATTTACTCACTTTCGACATGGCACTTTTACCACAAAACTTGAAATTATTTACGGTTCTTTCTACAAATTATATTGTTTATTTCTCCGAGTTCACACTCACACTCCGAAAAAACTCCCGCCACAACCCAAATTTCTTCATTTGACATAAGACAGATTAAGGTTAGAAAAATTTAATTTCAAAAAAATACAGTTATTACAAAAAAAATAGACGCTATATAATGGCGTTAGGTTTTTTATACAACGTCTTCAAAGTGTGATTTAGATTTGTCCATAAAACGGGCCACAGCGAATTTCATTGAACAGATTAATTTTTTGTGGTTAGGAAAAATTAACCTCAAAAAATGTTTTTAATACAAAGAGTGTTATTACGAAAAAAATATTTCACCTTACATAAATGGCATCAGGTGTTTTATACAACGTCAAAGTATGATTTAGATTTGTCCATAAGAGGAGTTTCTCTCCAAAATTACATTAAACGTTTAGAAGAAGAATATGAAACGCTTTTAAAACTGAACAATTATACCGCCAATAGTCGTTTTCATCAGTTGCAGCCGCTAATTAACACATTAAATGAACGAAAAGCGGCTGTGGATAATATTCAGAACTTATCCGAATTATTAAATGAAAAAGACGATGAAATTAGAAAGTTAGCAGAGGAAGAAAAATTATTTTTTGAAGGCAGGATCAAGTCAATTGATGACAAATTACTGGACGCAATTTTGCCCTCAGATAAGGAAGACCAATGCAGTTCAATAGTCTTGGAAGTCAACGCTGGAGTAGGTGGCCAAGAAGCCATGCTCTTCGCGAATGAATTATTCGAAATGTATTGTAATTTCGCCGAGTATCAAGGTAGGTGCAACCCCTCGACATTATTTTCCAATCTTTTTGGTGTATTTCAGGCTGGGAGACTCAAATCGCTGATTACTCAACAATCGACATGGGGGGAATCCGACATGCAAGTGCCATAATCACCGGTCCTCAAGCGTTTCAGTTCTACAAACACGAAGCTGGGGTTCACCGCGTCCAGAGAATCCCTACAACGGAAAAGGCGGGCCGTATTCACACCAGCACGGTCTCGGTGGTGGCCCTCCCCCAGCCCACAGACATTGAAGTCACCATCGACAACAAAGATTTGAAAATCGAAACGAAACGGGCGAGTGGGGCTGGAGGGCAACATGTTAACACGACGGAAAGCGCAGTCAGGGTAACACATTTGCCCACGGGGCTCAGTGTGGAGTGCCAAGTGGACAGGTCTCAAGTGAAAAATCGGCAAATTGCGTTAACCAAGCTACGGGCTTTGATTTATCAACGCGATCTTGAAGACCAAATTGCGAGAAATGAAAATATGAGGAAGAGTCAAGTTAGATCCAATTTTAGGAATGAAAAAATTAGGACTTATAATTTCCCACAAGATAGGATTACCGATCACAGACTACAGGGTTGTAACGTACATAACCTCAAAGGTTTTCTCCAAGGGAATGACGCTTTAGGGAATTTAATTAAGAAATTAGATCAACAATATAAAATTGAAACTTTGTTAAATCTTGTAAATAATGAATAAATAAAAGTTCAAATTGGCGCGTTTTTAATATGGTAGTAATTTTTGGTTTAACTATTGGTAGCATTGAAGTGTCACGGCAACAACCAATCATAACAAACCAAATTGAAATAAAAATATTTAAACGTCAGTTTAACGGCTTTATTCCTGTGACTGTCAGTGTTAAATGTTATTTTGAGTTTTTCGGTGATTTTTTAACTGAAAATATGGAAGAAAGTGCTCCAGATATGACGACAGATCAGTCGTTGACTTTTGCCGACATGTAAGTCATTCCAACAATGATTTATTTACTACATTTTTCCGAAAAAACACTTCCAGGGCAGATATTTTATCTAAAAGGATTAATGGGTTTTTTGTTAATGATTTTTGCCTCTAAAGTGACCATTTGTCTGTCTTATATTGTAGTTTTCAAGCGTTAACTATGTTTATTTAATTGCAGCCCTGAACTTTATTAAAAATGCAAAAAGTATGTTAATGACGAAATAACAGATAAATATTACAATACAAAAGCTAAGGAAAAATGCATATAGTTGTGAATTCATTTGTTTTAAATTCTAAAGGAAATGATAAAATTATAATTTAAAATAAAAGCTGTTTGAAGCCGCCCTGTCAATAGTAAAATGTTACAGCAAGACTTGCTGAGCAAGTGCAGTTTCAATAATTAACAAAGTGGCCTCTGTCTTTGAAATGAAGTTGGCGACAATGAATTATATAGCGACAGAATGTAGGAACTTTTTCGATTTTTATGTTTCTACATTTTTAATGTGGCCAACTTAATAATTTATGTAGCGGGTGATCACGAATGACTGAATAACAAAATTAAGAGTATTTTTGATGTCTCAGATTCATTTCTCATTTCTAAATGACTGAAATTTTTCAACTTAAAAATTGCCTCTACCAAAATTTTCAATGGCAATATGAGAGGTACTTTTCTGTATTATTTTCCTTTCTGGGGATAGCCTGCATTGCTGGTGTGAAGTGGCAACATTGCAATGATGTTTTTACGTCAAAGATACAGGCTGTCCCAACGGTCCGAAAAAGCTCTATAACTTGTTTATTTTAAGAGATATTGACTTTTTCTTTTTTTTTAGATTATAGTTTGATGTACATTTTAAAAATATTTCGGTTTATATACAATTTCCAATATTAAAAAAAACACTAAAGTTATGTTTTTTTAAATGGAATCTACTCAGTTTGATTTTATTTTTGGATTCTACGCTAAATTACAAATAACTTTTATAGAGGTTGTTTTCATTTATCTGTTATCAATTTTGATTTGTGGCGCTTTTTCACCAGAATTTTTTAAATGCAGGGGTCTGTCTAAAAATTCGTATTTTCAAAATGCTTGCACACAACTTAAAGTAAGTAACGCCATTTGATTCCTGAATGTTTGCCGCATCTTTTAAGTGTTTATTCAACAACCTGCTCAGTGGCATGCGCCTACTACGATTTTTTAAACATGACAAATTAAAAATGTCAAAAACTCATTTTTTTCAAATGGCACCCTCTATTTATTATTGTACCAATCAAAAGATCTTTTGACAAGCTTTCCATCAATATAAGGTTTGTATAGTCTAGTGTAAAATTCTAAGTTGCTATCCTAAATTAACTAAATTTCAAAAAACTTTTCTGTTTTGGACAATAAAAATCGAGTGGGCTTCTGTCATTGTTACAATCTATCAATTTTATTGTGAAGATTATAAGTCCCAAAATGAATTTTACTCGTCAAGAACTCATTAACATGGTATACAGTCTTGGTGAAGCGGATTGTAATATTTTATTGGATCAAAGACTCTACAAATAAAAATACCCAAATGCAAGACTGCCGCAAAGTGTTGCATTTAAAAAATTATATAAAAAGTCGTGTTAGACTATCTTTTAGACGAAGACTGCATACTTGTATTGAAAAAAATGGTAATATTTTTGAACATCTGTTATAAAGAAAATTGTAAAATAGCTTTAATGTTTTTTTTTTTTATTTGTTAATGTTTTTTCATTTTTCTACTAAATTTTGCTCAATATTTTACATTTTCTTCCAGCAAAGAATTTCCAATTCCATACTTTTGTTTATTTTCTGTGCTAATTTTTTTTTGCATAAGGCCCACTCGATTTTTATTGTTCAAAACAGAAAAATTTGTCAAAATTTAGTTAGCAACTTAGAATTTTACACTAGACTATACAAACCTTATATTGATAGAAAGCTTGTCAAAAGATCTTTTGATTAGTACAATAATAAATAAAGGGTGCCATTTGAAAAAAATGAGTTTTTGACATTTTTAATTTGTCATGTTTAAAAAATCGTAGTAGGCGCATGCCACTGAGCAGGTTGTTGAATAAACACTTAAAAGATGCGGCAAACATTCAGGAATCAAATGGCGTTACTTACTTTAACTTGTGTGCAAGCATTTAGAAAATACGAATTTTTAGACAGACCCCTGCATTTAAAAAATTCTGGTGAAAAAACGCCACAAATCAAAATTGATAACAGATAAATGAAAACAACCTCTATAACAGTTATTTGTAATTTTGCGTAGAATCCAAAAATAAAATTAAACTGAGTAGATTCCATTTAAAAAAATATAACTTTAGTGTTTTTTTAATATTGGGACACCCTGTATATAAACCGCAATATTTTTAAAATGTGCATCAAAAACGCAGCTATAATCTAAAAAAAAGAAAAAGTCAATATCTCTTAAAATAAACAAGTTATAGAGCTTTTTCGGACCGTTGTGACAGCCTGTATATCCTACTGACAAATTAGGAAGAGTCCACTGTAGAAAAACAAAAACGAACAGACTTTTTTTAATTTGTCACAAACTAAATAACTAATAGAGTAATAATAATGTAAATACAGAAGTGATTGTACATTATGTAGAAATCAAAAATAAAATTATTAAAGTAAATATAAATAATGATTAAAAGATGATGACACTAAAGTAAACAAAATTTGATATTTCTGAAATAGATTTCGATTAAAAATTTCGAATTTTGAAAAGAAAGTTTCATTTATCGAACTCAAAAACAAAACAAAATTTCATTCTTAAAACACGATCACATTTTTTTACAACACTAGGCAAATAAGATAACTTTTTACTTTATTTTTGCGTAATAAGATGTTCGCCCACGTGTTTTTCCCCCGAAATCGATACACCGTAAACCACAATTTTGATTTCTTATCCAATTTTGTGTCTCCGTCATACACATGGAGTGGAGTTTATTAAATTGAGTGTAGTTTGTCGAGTCTAAGCAGCGCACGCATGGTCCATCCACGACCTGAGGCTGCGTCAAGCCAATCCAAACAATATTTCAGTGGAGTATCGTAGAGAGAATAGAGTGGTGGTAAAATTTAGCCGGTTTTGTTGTGACTACGAAGTTTGATTAATCTTAATTTCCTGTTTTTAAAATTTTATTTTTTTTTGAATGTGAGACAAGGGAGGGAAAAAATGCCTCCTTAAAAAGAATTTTGATTTATGGACGCTTGTGATAGTGGCATAAAAGATTGTTTTCGTGATTGGAAAGAATCATGTCGTTTTTTAATTATAGTGGATTTCATAGCCCCCCTTCGAGGCCTTTGATTATTCCGTCCCCTACAAGTCCATTTTGGTGAGTTTTTTTTAATTATGTGGACGGAAATGGGATGTTGTTTGTAGAGGGTTTAGTCATCGTCTTTAAATGCTAGGGGAGGAAAATTCCAGCGCAGGTCAAAAGGAATTATTTTTTTAAATTTGATGCGAGATAAAAGACTCGTCTTTTGTTAATAAAAATAAAATAAAAACAACATTTTTATAATAATCAAATGATATTCATTATCATTCTATTATTATTTAATGTTGCCAACTTAATTTCAAAGTCTCGGGGAAGTTTAATCAGAAATTGTTTCAAATGTTAATTTCTTTAGCACAATTTGCTAGCCCCCATATGATAACCCTATCTGGTTTTTTATATTTCACCCACATGCCTACATTGACCCAAATTCAACGTGAAAAAAATCAATTGCACGTGCATCTCCACTACCCCATTTTCTCCAATCGACCCTAAAACAGTGCGATCAACTTTACAAGTAGGTGGCCGACGACAGAATTAATAAACTAAATGAAAATGTCCTTGTTGATTAACAACGACATGAACAGAAAGTGCGCTTTTCTCGGCCATTTATGGATGGCTTTATCGGAAAAAGTTGACATAATAATGAGGATGTCGTTGCAGATGGCACGTTTTCTTGCTACAGAAAGGAAATATTATTTGTTGTTGAAGGAAATACGAAGCTTATCTGGAACGATGAGATAATTTATGTGACTTGCTTGGATCTGAATACTTAATTGAAATACGGCGGTGGATGACGCGTTTGGTTTTTGCATCGGTTTTCCTATTTTGGTGGGAAAGTTGCGTAAATTCGCAGTGAATAGTCATAAGAAAACATCAAAGATAAGATATGATTTAATACAACAATATTGGTAAACTTTCAAATAAATTTCTGGAGTTTTGAATAAAGAATTCAAATATGAATCCGATTCTTTAATGGCCAATTAAATCGTTAAATTGTAATGTTTGTACACAACCTACTTTGAAAGAAGTGTTTATGCACCTTTGTCTTGTAACTTTTCTGTCGGCACGTATCATTTACCTTCTTCTAGCTCATTTCGTTACTTTTTTATTTACTTCTTTTCATGTTCATTTTAAGATCCTTATTATTATTAGCCCACGGTTTTAGGTAGTTGTAAAATTAATTATAGTTGTCTGGGCTTACTAAATTAAGATAAAGGGAGTATACAAACATAGCTTCAAAGGATCGAGGGTGAGATAATCTACGACGCAGGATGGAAAATTTACATTTAGATCATTTTGATAAACTGAAAGTTGTCTGGTTTTAAAAACACACGTTTAAAATAGGAAATAAATTGATGACAGATTCATTCTAAGGATAAATCTAATTATTCGGTAACAACAAATAAAATAAATTGATCGTCGATGAATATTTTTTCCGATTTGTTTAATCATTATGGTCCAAAAAACTGGTGGTGTCTTTTGAGTTTGTATTTTTTTGTATCTACAATTTCTTCCAACACTTGCTACGTACCAGTCTCAGCATCCGGCCTGTGAGCACATATTTGAAAAAACTAAAAAAGATATACAAGTCTCTCAAGGTTTATTATCCAGACGCATATTTACGTAAATTTTTGTCGAGTGTAAACATAAAATTTCACTCGATTTGTTTTATTATTCTTGGTAGTATGTAACTTAAGTCACACTTTATTTTGACTGGCAAAAAGTATTATTAACATCGCGTGTCTATTGTTTAGGCTTGATTTCATTTACAACCCTGAAACTTTTGTACATTTTATGGTAGAATAAACTTTATTTATCAATTTTAATTCGGTCAACAAGGGCTTGAACACAATAGTGAATAGATGTAAATGTTTACATTTGTGGATAACGTAATCCAAACTGCCCGAGAGTGATGTTTGTTTATGTTTTATTACATGTTTTCCTGAATTGGCCAGCTGGTGTTGGTGGAACGCGAATGTATTCATTTTCAAGATGGATACTTAATCTTTATCTGGGGATTAAGTGTTGAGAATAATGTGCTTAAAGCTTTCTTTCTTAGATGTACCCAAGAATAGGGTTTATTTTTGCTTACCACAAATTTATTTTCGCTGATAACAAAATTGTTTGTCGAAATTTTGAAACTTTCTAATTGAGTGGTTTGAGTCAATAACAGATCATTACTTCACCTATTTCATATTTAATTGTGCTATTTTTGCATTTAATTTTACAAAAAAATATACCACAATACACTAATTGAAGTATATTTCTGTGACTTCGATTTAATTAAGAATTTGGAAATTTTGTATATAAATTAGTCACCAAGTGGTGAAACACTTCATAAATGTATCAACAAATTACTAATATTGTAATAAAAATTGCTTGAGTGGTAATATTTTAGGTTGGTAAACTGTTGCGATCTCTGACCTGATCCTTTCAAAATAATTATTATTCGTTGTTAAATAAAATAGGCGGTGGCCTTGTTAAGTTCACCCACTTGCTCTTGAAAGGAATCTACAATTCTTCTAACTTGACATAATAGGATTAATGCTAATAGAATTTACTTTGTACATAATATACATATTTTTGGGACATTCTCGAATTGTTTTCTCAGTATTATGTTTCATTAAACAAACGAACAATTAATTTTCTGTATTTATTTTAATGATGGTTTTTATCTGTACGCTAGGTCAAAGTTTAGTGGTGTAATTAGCCATTAGTTGAATTCATTTAACGTTTTTAATTGTTATTAATTATGTAAAAAAATGTTGTGCTAGAAAAATATAATAGTTCTTATCCGCTTCACTTAATTATTGTATTTATTTCTGTTGCGTTTAAGTGAATTTCCTGTGAGAATGGGGAGGATTGATCGATTTATATTTAGAAAGAAAATTATGTAACAAATGGAATGACAGTGTAAGTGTCATCAAAGATCAAGTTCATTGGAGTGCATGAATCAGATCCCCAAATATATCTCAAACTGATTTTTTTCTCTCTTTTAATTGACTAACGACTTATTGCTTCAAACTGTTGATGTATGTATGATTCTTTGTTTATTTTTTTTTAGAATTTGCTCAAAAAAACTCTTACCCACTCAGATGCGTCTATAACACATACTTTACGCTTTTACGTTTTTTATGGTAGTGCTACTGGAAACAAACCAATGTGTTCGAGTATTTTTAGTTTGTCGTATTTGATAGATAACACTAAAACAAAACAGAACTAAGTTCATCTGTTGTTAGAGTTGTTCGATTTCTTCGTTTTTTGATCACTTTTTAAGTTTTTTTTATAATCTCTAAAGAAAAATTTGTTTGTTTCCTGCAAATCATCAGTAAAGTGTATGGGTGTTTATAAATAACACCAAACGGAAGCTTTTTTTTTAACAAAACACAAGCGTGTTCATCCCTAACCATTAACGTATTTTGTCGTCGCATTTTATTTTCTATTTATAAATTCCTATCTACTACGAACTACGCTTACGCCACTATCGATGCAACCTGCGACGTCTGTACTAGTTGACGATAGTGAATTCACACACATTTCTTTAGTTCGTTGAACCTAGAGGAGACCGAAAATCACGGTGGGATACTTCCTGTAGGCGTCCTGGAAGCGTCGCGACGTCAGTGGCAGTTTAAATCTAGGAAATTCCTTGGAATTGGTTGCGGTCATTATGAAATAAACTGTTTTAAATTACTTCAACGAAATAATAATTTCAATTGCTGTTGAAAGGGATACGAGGAAGCTAATAAAAAAATTGTGCACAAACAGGAAGATTCACAATAATTTTTTTCTGAAACAAAATTTCTCTTATTTATCAATACCTAATTGTCTCGTCTTGAAAGTGAAGTGTTAAATATTCATCTTATTGTTGACCTTGTTTATCTTACTTCTGAATATATTTATTTTTATTTAAACTGAAGTAGCTCCACATTATAATTTACGAGCCATAACTCAAACGTAAGTGTTGTTATGAATCTAGCAACTTTTGATGTGCGAAAAAAAGACATTTTACTACTTCAACTATTTATTTTCTATTTTGGTCACAATTTTTATAAGATGTACATAAAAATGTTTTTTGTCACTTCATTATTTTGTTTTAGCTTGAAAAAATTTTTTAACATCTGTTTGGTTTGTTTTGTAATCAATTTGAGTAGTATTTCATCTTAGTGCAACCTACAAGATGTTTTCCGTTTCAATTAAAACGTAAAAGTGTCCCAAAAGATTTACTTCACAGACGATGATGACACTCGGCATACACAAGAGGAAACAAAAAGATCAAAAAGAACAAATCGTTTCGTCTAAATTTAAACAACTCTCTTCATCTCGCACGGTAGATATTTAAAAATAAAATGCAAACATTGTTGTGATAATTTTTTGAACAATAATTAACGAAAGAGTCAAAAATTAACTAATAAACCCATGTTGATTTGTTTCATTTCATTTGACGACCTAAAAATTATTTCCTGAAAATCCCTGAACTATGTATCTGACAAACTTGATATTTTTTAATGTTGTTCTCTGCTTTATTTAACATTTAATGAATAAAATAAATGCAACAAGTCGTCCTTTAATGCCAGTTTGTGTGGGCTTCCGTTCGTTATGTAACAGAATCCCATTTTCACTTATCCATGTGTTTGGGCGTTTTTGAAATGTAAATAAACAATTTCCATTGCATTAACTCGACCATTTTAATTGTTTAAAATTAGGAGTGAGATTCAAAGCAATTAAATACGTATTTGTTTTGTTTTTCACGTGATTGATGAAACAACATCGGCACTGAAAGAACCATTAATAAATTTCAGCGAAGCATCGGAAGCTGTGAAGTTGATTTTTTTGTCATTATTGATCGTGTTGTTTTGATTCATTCGAAACATCTGTCCCAGTTCTATTTTCGTTTCAGGACACGATGGATTTCGCAAATGACCCATTTTGACCATCTGATCTCCTACACACTCACCTATGCACTATGAATGTTAATTGGTTGTTTTTCTGTTTCAGTACGAGTCCTAGTCAGCTACAAGAGGTCACTTTGGACCAAGACAACACATTTTCAAGTAAGTTGATTTCAGAAACGCAAATCTACGAAACGAAAACGAATCCTGAAAGCAGTTTGAATGCCAAATAATAGCTTGGCACAAATATTTCGTTTAATGTAAAAGTTTTGTCAGTGTTTGTGTTTGGATAACACTGATTAAAGTCAAAGAATCAATTGGATTGTTGCCGCCTTGTTGTTTCATTTCCGGTTGAAATCTACCCCACCTAGGATTATTTAATAATAATATTCTTGGTTGCGGTTGGTTTGACATTATGGAACGACAACGGGTGCTACTAATTGTCCTGAAGACGATGTTTTTATTAATTAGGCGCTTTGTGCGCCACCGTTTTGGCAGACTTCCATACTGGAATGACAAACAACAATTTTGGAACGATCAGAAATAGCCGTTTCAAGGGCGAAATTTCGATAAGTGCGCTTCAGTCTTTCAGCATGTTATGTAAGAGGTTACATAGTACAGTGCAACGTAATCAACTTCATTCGCACAAATGCATCTTTTTGCAAAAAAAAGGCCACAATTAATTCAAATTAAAAAAAAAAATGTTTTTTCTGAAATCTTTAAATTTATTATTTCTTTCAATTATACAAGGTGCGCCAAAACTCGCTCCCCAGAGAAAAATGCCACATAAAGTAAGATACCAGGACCATGGAAAAAGTGTTAAATTTTTGAAGTTGAGAGTTTAAATTTTGCACTTTGACTCTATTTATTTTTGTTGGAAAAATAGTTTTCCAAGTTTTTTTGCTACAGGTTATTACAAGAGGAAATAAGGAAGCTGTATCCTAAATTGTAACTCTGTTTGATGTTATTTGTGGCTTTTATTGGTAAAATTTTTGTACCTTCTCGTAAAAAAACATAGGTATACAACATTATCAGTACCATTAAATAGACATAAAAAATGTCAAAAAATAAATGTCAAAATTTTTTGACAGGATTTTTTTAACATTTTCTCCATGTTCCTGGTATTTTATCTTACTTGAAATTTTTTTCTGGGGTGCGAGTTCTGGCGCACCCTGTATAAAATTTTGAAAACTTACTTTACGGACTATCAACTTTACGGACAATTTCACTAAAATTAATGAAATGCATGAGACCGAAAAAGTGTCACTACGGACTATTTTATTTATTTACGGATTTTTTAATTTGAACTTTTTTTTTGTATCTCTAGATACTCGTATTTAATAGCAGAGAAAAGAATGTACCTCTTGGAACTTCTTATACCATATATTTTATTAAAATAAAATTGTTTTGATTTAAATTAAAATGTGGGCGTTCAACAATGGTATTCTGCGTATTTAGTGGTCGTTTTACATACCATAAAACATTACAAATTAGCTTTGTTTTTTTTGGGCGAGGTGAAAAACTGCGATTAGTTCGCTAACTAGATCATCATTAATATCACATTTTAAAACAAGCTGTATTAAAAAATAATTAAGCCGTAGGCAACGATTCTAAATGACAAATTCGAATATAAAAATGAGAAAATCGGGGCATTTTACATCAGTTGAGTGCAGACATCAACAGCAACAATGTTCACTGTGAGTAAAAAAAAAGTTTTAATTTTGCTTATACTAGTTTGTGATACTTTTAGAATTTTTTCTATCTTGTTGCCTTGTTGGCCGCTGCTAGCGCTGATCTTTTATCAAATCCTGTACTTCAAACTACCGTCACCGGTGAATCTGGTACCATCACTGAAGAAAGGGTTTTACCTGTTGCACCTTACGTGCTAGGAGGCAGGTCTATTTTACCTGTATTTCCCCAACCATCTGTGCTACCATTTGTTCCCATCACTTCTGTCATTCCTGAAACACCCGTTGCTGAAGTGAAGGAATCGAAAGATTCCGTAACCGTTGAAACGCCTGAAGTTAAAACTACTGCTCCTGTTTTGGTTCTCCCAGAACATCCAATTCACTCCTTGTATGGATATTACCCATACCAGAGCCCATACTATGGGATTAATGGATACTATTACAGATACTACTAATTCTTGGTTTTGTTAATTGAATAACAATAAAGGAATAATAAAAAATATATTGCTAAAAAAGGTTTTTATTTTTCTAATTTCAACTGAAAAAAATGTTCTAAAAATAGAAACGGATGTGTTAATCGTAAATTTTACCGACCTATCTTAAATCGGTTTATCTCCACAAACACTGGATAATTTTAGCTATAATAGCTGCCTTTTTGCAGGATTTAATAGTAAAAAACAAAAAGGGTGTTTGTAGCTTGGCCCGGAAGTTACACTAGACAGATTCCAATCTCTTCGAAATAAATTTCTTCAAGACACACCCTCAAAAACCGTAATTGCCTTCTTCATTGTTCGAAAACCACGACACCGTGATGCTCTAATTACATTCAATCATGGGCTTGCACCCTTCTTTCCTTATCAAAATCAAATTATTTCGGAAAAATTTTGTTTTTGACATTATTTTTGACACATTTTCGATGTCACCATTGTAAATTGTCCGTAAATAATCCATCATAAGCTTTCATGGGTCCTTGTTAATTGCCCAACGCTCCACTTCTCCCTTTTCGACAACAAGTGGAGGTGAAAATGGCTAAAGAATTTATTAAAGCCGTGATCGAAAACACGATAATGGAAGACAAGTCTGAGTTTGAAGCGTCGGAATCCTGCGAAGAAGTAGAAATAGAAGGCGCGAGCGAATCTGTCACGTGTTTTAGTATTGACGACGTATTTTTTTACTTGCAGATTCCATGGGTGGACCAATGCGGGGCAGGTCCGTCAAAGAGTTCGAAGAGCAGCTGTCAAATCTCAAAAAGGAAAATTTTAATCTCAAACTCAGGATTTATTTTTTAGAAGAAAGGATGGGTGTCAATTTTAATCTAGACAAGGAAAATGTAGTTAAGAAAAACGTTGAATTAATGGTGAGGCAAAGAAGTGGGTTTTTTGATAATTCCATGACAATATTACAGGTTGAAGTGGAAAGTTTGAGGAAAGAAGTTCAGGAAAAGCATGATTTACTGTGTCAAGCTGTGAAGGCAATGGAGTTGGAAGATGAAGAACACAAAAAACTGGTAACCGAAAAGGAAGAGATGCTGACGGAGGCCCATCAGGAAATCGAAGATCTGAAGTCACAGCTACTTGTGAGTTCTATTTATTTGCTTTAACAATATTACAGTTTTCTGTATTAAATTATTTGTTGTCCAGTCCGTTCGCTGGAACAAGAACGATGTTGTCTTTCGCAGGTTTTTCTTGCAATCTGAAATTATATTAGAAAATATTAAAGCCAAAAATTATAAAATTCTTTTTTCTTCTTTTTTTTTCAGGATGCTAAAACGGAAAGTGAGATAATGTCGGCCAGGACTCAATCCGATTACTACGCATCTCAAGCATTCAGTTTACCAGACACTTCAAGTGCCCTGAAAGAGCTTCAAGATAAAATTAAATCCCTGGAAGAAGAGGTATTTCTTTGGTTTCTTTTTGTGGTGTCAGTTTTTGTTTTGTGCGTGCGATTAAAGTGTTCGTGTGTGTTTCAGCTGCAACAGGAGAAGGGAAACAGTGCCGCAATTCAACTAATTCTCGATCAGAACGATAACAAAATCAAGAGTTTATCATCACAGTTGGAGGAAGCGACGAAAAAACTCGATTATCGCATCCATGAATTCGAAGATATGAGTTTTCAATTGGCAGAGGCCAAGGCGAAATGCCAAGGCTTGCACAAGAAACTCGAGGAGAAGTCGCAAATTGTGAGTGAATTGTCATCTGAAAACGATGAGTTGCGAAAACGTCAAAATCTCTTCTCGTCGGATTTGGAGAAAGAACGAAAACGTTATGAAAAGTTGAGAGCGAGCAGTGAGCAGAAAATCGCCGATTTGCAGTCGAAATTGGAGGCCTCTTTGGCCGAATTGAAGAAAAGTCAGGACCTTGTGGTGTCTAAGAGTCCTGGCCGCCGCCCCGGATATACTGATGCCGATTCCTTTTCAGTTCAAAAACCAACAACACCTTCTGGATCTCCGTCGAAAGACACATTCCTTCTTCCAACACTCCCTTCGCCGGTAATAACGCCCACTTCGTCCCCCTCACCCTCTGTCAATTTCCCCTTTGATCATAATAATCTCGATGTCAAGCAAATTATTGAACAACTGAAGAACGAACGCGACTCTCAACACCAGAAAATCGTCAAGCTTAAAGCCGAACAAATGAAAGCTTGCAAGATAATCAAGAGTATGATCGATTCAAGGAATAAAACCAACAATGAAATCACCACTTTGAAACAGAAAAACGAACAACTTGAAAGGGAACTAGAAGGGGTGGTTTCAAGAATGCAAACGGAGGGCGAGAGGGTGTCTCGCGGCGGCGAATCTTTGTCCAATGAGGTACTAGTTCGTAATTGCTTCCCGAAAGGGGTGTAGATTTGGCTTTTTTGCATGACTGTGATAGATTTGCTTCCAATTTCGAGTATTTGTACAGGTCGAGTTCAAGATGTTTTCTACACGTTGGTTTCAATACTTAGAAACATTAAATTTGGCGAATGTTAAAAAAATACATACGAGTTTGTCAAGTACGTTGTGAGGAAATGTTTAATGTTAACCAAAACTTGCTATTTGTATCGTGTGGGGTGAGCCGTAAAGGACCGTGGAGTACAGTTTTCAAAAAATTACCCTGTTTTACTTATTGTCTGAATATGTTGTGTTTTTTTATAAATAAAGTTATAAGCTAATCTACTTGATTTGAGGGTTTACGTATTTCTTGCTAAAAATACAAGTGATTTGTTGCAAACTAACTCATTGCTGATAATTAACAAACGAGTTCGTTAATTAGAACAATAAGTAGAGTGATTAACAAACGAGTTCGTTCAAATGTTTCCATTTATTTCAGCATATAAACTTGATATTAGCAATTTTTATTACAATGTTCCCTAATGATTCCTATTAAGCAAGTGCCTGTAATATACTTCAAGTAAATAATAATGATTTATTAACGCCAAACAGCTTTAACAATACGATAATAGTACAGATTACAATTCAACAAAAGAGAAAAAGCAAAGAACAAAATTTCATGACAGCTACATTTTAATAAACCTCTAACTTTCTTTTTTATTGAGTTAAATAATAATAATTAAACTAAACGAGTTTTTCAAGATTTTTTTAACATTGATAAATTTTGTATAATCTAATCAAGAAAAAACGTTCAAATGGTCCATCAAATCTCTATAAATAATTAAGTAAGATATATTTCATAAACACACCATTTCTGTGTACTGTTACGAGGAGAAAAATATCATTGTTATTACTTCTAAGTAGTTTGTAATAATTTTCTTGCAAAAGTCTTCAATGATTTAATTTTTTTTGGGCCAAAAGGCATCTATGGTACTTTCTTTATAGAAGAAAATAGATACTTCATTACTCAAACAAAAAATAATGAGGTAAAAGCTAGAAGTACACACCGGGGCGGGGCCTAATTTTGCGCGCACACATTGGAGGGCAAACGAACCAGAGTCGTCCTTTTTCGGCAAATTTCTCATTACATCCCATGGTTTGAAAGAAATTTTTGAAAGATTACCAACTTTGACAGAAAAACAGATATTTTACCATTTTAACGAAACGTGATTCTAAATAAAAGTAAAATAGTATACAGTGCCCAGCGGGAATGTTGTTACCCATTGGGGTAACGATTGTAATATAGTATTAATTAGCCCTTTGCTGGTCATTGATTTGAAAATCTCTCCAAGAGTGCTGATATTCAAATCATTGAGTGTCATTTTGACATTTTTAATTATTACAAAATTTCAGTGTTTTTATCGATATGCTTGGAGTAACTTTGTCAAAGAGAACCTTTAAAAATAAGTTTACAATTTTTTCTAATTTGTTGTGCCCAACCATGGACGAGCATCGTTTAAGAATAAGACAGGTGTAAAATATTTGTAAATTCTTTTGGCTTTCGCTAACTGAAGCTTCTGTATCCGCTTAGCTTGAAACGTAAAAGTTCAGCCAGGCTATTTATAAACCTACCTAAATAACATCGAGTTCATTCCGTAACTTCTGTGTTTCTTAACCCCAGTCACAATTCCCCCTTTGGCGTTAGAATAGTTAAAAATGAGACGGTTTAGCTTAATTAACTTGTTATGGTAGTGATGTTTTCTTGCGTAATATGTAAAAAGGTATTGTAGATTACTTATTGTAGCTAATTAAGGTGTGGAATTTGTGCTTGATTAGCTTGCTTTTTAGGCATGGTGGGTGACGCGACAAAGACAATGAAGTACACCTCAATGTAATATTTTTTGTCTGTAATTAAGTTACAACAATAAACGCATGCAAGTTTTGGTTGTTGGTTTTATTTTTTTATTTCGTTTGTCTTTGTGTGGTGTTTTTTCTATTTACGTTCACTAAATCTGTGTTTTCACTAGAATTCAATGGAGGAACAAAGCGGAGAGTTAATTGAGCATTACAAAGCTCTGACTGATGAACTAGAGGAGAAGAACAGGGTTAGTACCACCACTACCACTTCTTTTGAATAGTTTCACATTAAATTTCTAGATTTTGACGGCTACTTTGGACGCGAAAGACAACCAAATGAAGCGATTGCAAGACCAGTATGAGGACATCATGAAGAATATTAAAGAAAAAGAAGAACACATTGTCGATCTTGAATTTGACTTATTGACAGCAAACCAGGAAAAAGGAGGTGAAAAAGAGGAAATCGAGCGTCTCAAAGCAATCCTTGTGCAACGCAACAGTGATTTGCAAGGACTCGTCAATAAAGAACTGTGGGAGAAGAATCGTGAAATCGAAAAACTCCAAAAGAAACAAGCGTCAGAAATAGAAAAACTCCGAAATGACTTGACTACAAGAGAGAAACAATTGAGTTTGATCAAGGAGAAGATTTCCGAATTGGGAATTGAAATCGACATTCAAAACGGGGGAATCTGTGTCGAGAACCACCTACAAACCGAATTAGAAAAATCCGAAAAATTGAGACTGGAAGCGAATGAAGTTTGTGCAGTCTTGAGTCGAAGACTAGAGGAATTGGCTATCTTCCTCGATTCTTTGTTGAAGCAAAAATCGGTTTTGGGCTTCTTGGGCAACAAGGAAAACCAGAGAATACGTCACATCATCGACCAGAGTCTGGATTTGTCCAGATCTTTCACCATGAGCATGATTATTAATCCAGATCAAAGCCTCCTCCAACTCACAAACATTTCCAGTTTTTTGAATGAGACGAATCAAACTGACACTAGTAGACTCAGTTTAACGTATAAAAGCCATCTTTACAAGAATGACGATGGTGATAATGCACAAATTATTCAAACTTTGCGCCAACAAATCGTTAATCTGAAATATGAACTCCAATTGCGTGACGTCGAGTTGAATAAAATCACAGTTTGTGACAATTTCACGGAGATTTCGTCCGAAAAAGACGAACAAGATTTGGACAAGCCTAATTTGAATACAACATCGACGACTTTAAAGTATAAGAGTGATAATCAATCTGAGTCCGAGGCGTGGTCCGAGCCAGATCGTTCGGTTTCACGTGCCCGAATCGGTCTTTTAGATGGAAGTTTGAAATCGAATTCGAGCAAAAAAATAAACACTTCAACTGACTCGACCGAAGATGAGGAAGATAAAAGTTCACATACTTCTAAAAAAAGTACACTTAATGAAAGTCGCACAACTATATTGGAATTGCATAGACAAGTCTGCGAACTCAGTCAGAAATTAAACGAAAAAGAAACGGCTTATTGCGACGCGATGAAAAACAACAGTAAACTCAAGCAAGAATTGGACAATTTAGAAATCAAACTGACTGAAGCCCAACAAGATAAAATAGAATGTGAGAAGAAAGTACAAGAGCTTGACGAGAAAGATAAAAAGATTGAAATGGAAAAGGAGGAAGCATTGCAACTTGCGAAAGTAGCAGAGGAAGCTTTCGAAGTGGCGAAAAATGAGGTGAAGATTCTCGAGGGGAAGTTAAAAGAGAAACAGGAAGAAATGACCGAATTGGAAGAGGAGCTTCGAAACGAGTACCAGAATCAACTCAAAGACCAAGTGAGGCATTTGGAGGAAGAATCGTTGAAGAAATTGAACGAAATACAAAGCAGTGCTGAGCTCGAAATTAAGACGCTGCGTAACACAATTCAACAGTTGCAAGCCGAATATGAAGTAAACTACGTGAAGAAATGCCAAGTTGAGGAAGCACTTGATGAAATTGATCGATTGAAGAACGAAGTTGATTCTTTGGAAGAACGTTTGGAAGAAATGACTGGAGAAGAAGAACGCACTAATAGGAAATTCACAGAATATGAGGAAAGAATCAATAGTTTGCGTTGTGATTTAGATAATGCGACATTGCAGTATTCGGAAGCCGTTTTGGACAAGACTAAAATAGCCAAGGAAAAGGCACTAATTGAGCAAGAACTCAATCGAAGTGTTTTGAAGGAAATTGATACGAAAAAGCGACTAGATGAGGTTTGTTTTTCATATTGGTGACTTGACTTGACTTGAAATTTTTTAAGGTTGAAAATGAGCTTCAAGAGTTGCGCCAGGCTCATCAGAGGCAAGTGTCGTCACTACAAGTGCATAAATCGAAACTTGAAGTGCGTGTTAGCGAATTAGAGTCGTCCAATGCGGAGTTGCACAATAGACTTGTTAAAATTCAAGCGGGTTGTGGCGATGTGAATTCGGTGTCTTTAACAACACCGAATTTCGTCAATCAGATTGTGTCGTTTAGACGCCAACATTCGGACAATTCCGGGTATTTGTCCGAAGAACAGATCGTAATGGACGATGGGAGAGGAAGTAGGAGTTTCAGTAGATTGGTATCGAACCAGAATTTTGATATTGAAAGACACGAAGCGAATTCTTCGCCTGATTTGGGAATTGAGAGTGACCATGGCAGGTTTTCCAGTTTGGAGACGCACCTCAACGTACAGAGGCCGTTATTGCAGACTTTGGAGTTGACCGAGTCGATGAACAACTTGCTCGATGTCGAGAGCAATCAAGACGAAAACTGTGGTAAGTTTTGGTGGTCAAGTGTGAGATGAAATTAAATGATTGATGGAAATAGGGAGAAGCTCTTCGAGATTTGTTTTTTGTAATTTCCCATTTGGGAATTGTCATTACCAGAATTAGTGCGAGTTGGTCTTTTTGTAGATGATGTGCATTGCTGTCAGAAAACGCTGGAAATGGCCCACGAGAACAACGATTTGAAGCGGAAGTTGCTGAGGACGAGGAGAGCGTTGGAGGAGACTGTGACCCAATTAACTTTAGCAAATCAACGGAAAAAACAAGTGGAAAAAACCATTTGCAAACAGATTCATAAAACGAGTCAAGTGCTACGAAAGGCCAAAGCTAATTTAGATTCAGGCTCAGAGACTGATGCGTATAAAAAATAATCATTTTACATGTCACTTTTGTATATTGTTTAAGTTTTAGTAAATACGTTTTCTTGTTTGTATTTCTCATTTTTAAGTAGGACGTAAGGACTGGAATGTGATATTTCCTGTGTCTTCTTGTGCCAACAGTGTACAAAATTGTGTAGTTCATAGAATTTTAAGCAGTACCTATTGTGATATAAGCGTATTTTTGAAATGTGAAGTTCGCCAATTATAGGTTTTTGATTTTTCTAGAAATTGCAGTATTTTTAAACCCCTTCAACCAAAATATGGAAAGTGGGTAGACAGGTGCACTAAGTACAGTTAAAAATTAGTAAAAAAATATATTGACACACGATTGAATAACAAAGTAGCCTCAGTTTAATCGCAATACGGATTTGTGGCTTCGTCTAACTTAGGAGAAATCTCATTCTTGTTGACAACAACACTAAGTTTGCTGGCTTCTGTTTGGGCTAGGTTTAGCAAAATTTGACTGGTCTCTAAAATCTACTGAAACCTGGGCTAACCTCATCTGAAACTGTTATTTACATTAATTACCTTTTTAAACCCGGCTTCTGTGTCCTGAATTGTTTTTTCATAACTCTCACACAGCGACCGATGTTTTTCTAAACTTTCAGTAACCACATTCAATTTATCTCGCATCAGGTCCATATTTTTCTCGATGGATTGCTTCTCTTGTTCTTCCCGTTTTACAATTATTAACATCTCATTCCTTTTCATTTTCAGGTCTTCTAAACCTGAATTTTTTAGGTTAGAGTGCGTCATCTTCAAATCTTGTTTTACTTACATTTTACTAATTCCTGATTGTAGGTCTGCAGAGTTGCGCCGTGCTGAGACATTCTGTTTTTGATTTTTCAGGATTTTAAAGTTTGAAAACTGAAAATTTTGAATTTTCAACCTGTCGAAATGACGTTTGTTGGGGTTTCAAAATGCGCCAATGGGTGCTCACGTAGCATAGCAACCAATCATAGAAATGGGCGCAAATTTTGAACGCAAATTATTTTTTCACATTTTATTGTTTAATAAACGCGATTCACATTATCAAATTTATCTCAGTGACTAGATTGATGTTTTTTGTTCGATTAACTGTTTATTAACATCTCGTCACAGAACACCTACAAAATAGAACGCATACTTGTGGCGTCATCATACGTCTGGCCCGTGAACTAGAAAAGGCGGCAATTTTGAAAATATGTTTTGTTTCAATTTATTACTTTTTATTAAAACTAAATTAAAAATACAAAATACACGTTTTAGACAAAATTTTATTTTTAAAATACAATCACATTTTTTTATATTACTTTAATTTACATTAATAATTAAAAAAAAAACCGTTTGGTACCCTGTATGTATTTATTTATACCTTCCACTGGAGTCACTCTTGTTCGTGGACTATAAAACCACATTTCCGATAATTCTACATCTCCTTTTTGTGTTGTGGAAAAAGACAGATCAATGTAGGTATTGGTAACTTCTGGTGAAAGGTCAATTATCATCTGATCTGAAGAATGTTATGGGTTAAGAATTAAAACCGAAGTTTTAAAATCTTACCCACTTTTGGTACCGACACCGACGACGCATGTTCCCGCAACTCCTCACTGTTATATTCGTACGTGTATCTTTCTTTAATTAGCAAAAAGTTAGAAAGTGATGTTATTATTTAACTGAACTTACCTTGACAAATATTAACAGAACGCAATGAGTTGGGGAACAGACTTTTGAACACACTGGAGCTCTTAATTTAGTCTGGCAAAAAGTGGCTCCTTTTTCGGACGCGGAAACCGAAAGAGAAGCCCAGATTTAAATGGGCAGCCCACCACAGCAGAACAAGTTCGTTTGTGGAAACTCATTCTAAACAATTAGCAATTATTATCGTAGATTAGTACAAAAATCAATTTTACCTCAAATTCCAGGGATTTATTTTACAAACAAGACTCAATTTTGTGTTTTTTTCATTGATTGCGTTGACAGTTCAAATTTTGAAATCATGACTAACTTGTTCCAAATTTCAATCCCGCACACTTCACGCCGATAAATTAGATTTCTTTCTTTTATTATAAATCTAACAAAAAAAGCTGGAACCTAAATTTGTTGTTTATGTTGTGTGTCTACACCTATCGTCTACCTTTGAATGAAAATGTAAAATAAAAATAACATTCGCAAGAAATAAATAAACTTATTATGAGAATGCTAATCGCGACCTCTGATGGCCGGACCAGAACTAAAATTTATCGAAAACGGTCTGGGCTATACTAGTCGGCTACCATAGATGAATACTTATATAGGGTCTATAGATGACGTACTGATGTACAACCTTTTGAACTCGTATTCAGCAGCGCCTCTGTAGTTTGGACGCTGAACTATACAGCAAAATGTGCCTTTTTTAAATGGTAAAAATAATGTTAATTGAGTATTTAGTACAGGGAGATAAGTGCTACTGGTATCTTATTAGAGATTAAACAAAGAAAATATAAGTTTATTTTCTTAAAGTGATTTATTAAAGATATTGAATCAAATTAGTTAACATAGGTGGTTTCATACTTATATGGATTATATTAGAACAATTATGTTCGAGAAGGAAGCATAAACAGTCTGAGTTGTTGAGTTCTTGTCACAAAGGGTGTCGGCCGGAACAAATCTTCATATTTTTCCCATCAATGTCCACATTTTCATCAACAAAATTCACAAATTGTTAGTAAAACTTCCTTTACTTGTACACACAGCCACACATCTGTACACAATAACTGAATAAAAATCTAAAAATCGTAACTACACATAAGCACTTTGAACGATGTCACCGTCAAAATTTAATTTTTTCTATCAGAGGTGTCACAGACAACCGCTAAAATTTTAAAATTTTGATGCGAACGCCTCTGGTGTTTGGACGCTACATTAAATAGATAGACTGAATTCACCAATCTAAGAAACCATAGCATGTCGGCTACCCCTGCATCTCGTTCCGTTGAATTTTCAGGTCTTCTAAAACTGAAATTTTTAGATTCGATTTGCGCATCTACAATTTTACTTACATTTTACTAATTGCCGATTGTAGGTTTACAAAGTTGCGTCGTGCTGCAATATTCTATTAGTGATTTTTCGGGATTTTAAAGTTTGAAAATTGAAAAATTTTAACCTATCGAAATGACGTTTGCTGGGGTTTTAAAATGGGCCAATGGGCGCTCACGTAGGTTGAGTATGTCAACGTGAAGAAATTCAAGCAAGCGCGGGTAAACGGCGGGAGTAACTATGACTCTCTGACTAAGTCCAGGACTGTTATCATCCATAAAGACGGCGCTAGATTCAACCCCTCCAACTGACGTCCAATTACCATCAGTAGCGCCCCGCAGATGCTCTTTCATCGGATCCTCTCTCTATCCAACTACGCTCCGGCCAAAAGGGCTTTGTCAAGTGCGACGGTACCCTAGCGAATGCCTTAACCATTGAACATTAAATCCGCTCACGAACCGAGAGCAACAGACGGTTCAACTTAGTCTCTCTGGACATTGCGAAAGCCTTCGACTCAGTGTCCCACCATTCTATTAGAAGAGCACTGTGTCGTGTCAATGTCGAGATGAGAATGACCAACTATCTTATGAAGACGCTCAGAGGAACCACCACCATCAAGGTTGGGTCATCCTTCACGCGCGAACTCCAACTCCAGCGCGGGGTAAAGCAGGGCGACCCCCTTAGTCCAATTCTATTCTCCATTGTTATGGACGAACTACTTGCATCCTTGAACTCCTCCAGTCAAGGCGCCCATCTGTCCGCTGGAAACGCGATGTCATGCCTTGCCTTTGCTGACGATCTCGTCCTACTATCAGACGACGAGACCGAGGTCCCCATTCTTTTGAATGCGACAGAAAAATTCGTGATAGCCAGAGGAATGAAATTCAACCCGTCCAAATGCTGTGCTCTTAACACTACACTTGCCTCTGGCGTCCTCATCCCCCGCACGAAACCGATCTTTCAACTGCATGGAAAGAAAATCCCAATGGTCTCTGCTATCAACACCTTTAAGAAACTTGGGCACCTATACGATGCTTCTGGAGTACTCCACAACCTCTCCCGTGCACCCCTTAAACCTCACCAAAAACTCCTAATTCTAACCCAATCCCTCATCCCCAAAGTACTATAGGGTCTACAAAACCACGATGACTACATCGTGTACAAAACCTTACGATCAATGGCCGTATTTGCAACCAATCGCAGAAATGAGCGCGAATTTTAAACGCCAATTTATTTTTTACATTTTGATGTTAAATAAATGCGATCCACAATAACAAAGTCATTGTTTCAGAGAATTATATTAATAAATTTCTAGTGACAAATTTAAAAATTTTGTGAACTTGTGAAAAAACTGATGTTAGAGTGTAAAAGAAATTGTGACAAAAAACCTCGATATGAAAAGAAGTGTGGGAAGCTTGAGGGGATTCAGTATTGAAGATGGCCTCAAACGAAGAATACATAAGAAAAAATAAAGTGGTAATAGTTGACGATGATAAAAATACGAAGCTTCACTACGCGGCCGCATTGGGTAATTTAGAAGAAATCGAGAAAATTGTGGCGAAAAAACAGAAACTTGACCCTGAAAATTATCTTGGTTGGACTCCGCTGATGATGGCTGTGAGAAATTCGAATGCGAAGGCGGTGGACTTGCTTTTGAGCCATGGCGCCGACACGACAAAACAAAACAAATTTGGTGAGAAACATTTTGAAAAAAATCACTCCTAATGTGGAATTTCAGGCATGAGTGTTTTTTTAATGAGTGTGGCAAGTGGTGACCTTGACATGGTTGAGCGTCTTTTAAACCACCTCCTCTGGGGGGGAGTCTCCCGACAAGTTTTGGAGAAAACCCTTTCTCCACTTTCTTTGGCTATTTTATTCGGACATGAGCGCATTCTCAAGTACTTGCTGGAGCGTCGTTTCGACCCAAACGCGGCGACGCCTCTCACAGGTAAAAACTCAAATTTTTTGCACTTTTTCAGCGGCTTTATCGATTTTCAGCAATCACTCCTGCGATGTTCGCCGTGGCTGTGGCCAATAACAAGGCCATGAAACGCTTGCTGTTATACAATGCCGACACATCACTGAAAAATTGTTTGGGCAAAACGGCCTCAGACATTGCACAAACACGCCACAAGAAAATTGATATTGCCCCCACGAAGCAGGCACCAAACCTTCCAGTTTTTGTGATCAGTCCTCACACCCCAAACTCGCCCGTTTTCCAGGTGGCGCCCAACTTTGGCCATTTGAGGAAATCTTCAAATACTTTAACTCCAAATACTCCCAACTTTCTGTGTGCTAATATTACCCCAATTGCCCCAATGGGGCCCCAGATGATGCCGCAGGTGTTTTTCCCGCCGAATTTCTCGCTCAGCAATTTTGCAAGTCCAATGGGGGCTTACGATTCCTCGAATCACAGCTTTTTTAACGCCACGATGACTCCGTCAACTATGTTTTTCTCGCCTTTTGCGTGATTTGATACGATTTTAAATGTGATGTTTACGGTTTTATTACTACTTTTGTGCTTTTTAATATTTTACACTGACTTTTCAATAAAATAAAATTTTCGACTAGTATTTTTGAGTCTTATTTCTAATTAAATAGTACAAAAAATTACTGGTATGTGTGCTTGGCGAACCAATAACTGAGCCCAATGATGATAAACAAGACTGAAACGCTTAAATGATAATAACCATAAACCATAAATAAATATTGGGTGTCTAATCTCAGTCCTATCTTATCATTTAAAAGGCATACGATCACAGAACTTAGAATACTTGCCATCAGTGCGATGAAACCGAAAACTAACCCGAAACAGCCTTTTTGTACGAATTTCGCAATTTCTCCGCACACAATTGTCATGATAAAGTGATACAAAAACCCCAGAATGACATAAAATATGCAATTCAACACAATTTCCTCAATTTGTGACATGAAAAGTAGCATAAACGCCTCCACTAAAGAAGTCATGGAGAGGATTAAATCGCCGGTGTATTTCCAGTCAAATCGAGCATGTCCTCCACAGATTGTACCCAAGAGGGCGAAAATTGCGTAAATTCCCTCTAAAAAACCGTTGAAAGGGGAAATGTCGCTTTTCTTTTGGAGAATTTTCCACAAGGGTTGCACATAAACTGAAATTTGGGTGTAGCCACAAACCGTCAAAATGCTCCACAATGACCACTTCACAACGTATTTGTTGGGGTAGGCGGATTTCAGATTTGTGAGAATTGAACTCAAGTTGGATGCTGGTTGGGGTTTCTCCAGTTTTTCGTAAATTGGGGGGAGCAAAATTGTCACAATAATGGAGAAAATGAACGCTACAAAAAAGTACTTGAATTAGGAGGGAACATTTTTGTTGAGGGATAAATTGAAAAAAAAAAGTGAAATTTAGTCTATAGTTATAGACAATCCGTTTATGTGTGGCTTTTTTTAATTTTTGATTAAAAATGAAATTTGAAATTTTCAGATTACAAATTTTTGTGTGTTTGTCTGTGGTTTTTATTCTGAAATTACTCATGTTAGAAAAATGAAGATACAAAGATAAAAACATTCTAACTACGTTAAGGACAACACCACAAAATAATGTTTTTTTTTTAACATAAAAGCAAAACTAACTAACTAAAAATTCCATTAAAAAAGAAAAATTTGAGCTATTGAAATAAAAAAGTTTTCCATTTAAAACAAATTAATTATTTTATTTTTGAATACATGTCGGTATTTTCTAAATTTTTACAGGTTGGAAAGCGGAAAGAATTTTTTATTTTTACATCCTGTTATAATTTAGAAAAAAACAATATTATTTTTATTGTAAAAATGTGTTTTTAATATTCATTGTATCTAGGACTACATTAATGATTCTTTGAAACTAATTAAAAGTATTATAATAATGTAGGTAGGTACACATTAGGTATACATATAATTTTATGTAATTTTGTTAGTTTCAGAAAATAAATATGTATAAATATGTATTCTATTATATCAAAACATTTCAATCATCATGTATAATTTGTTAAAAAAATTGAAGCAAAAATAAAAAAGTAGAAAAAAAGCAAAACTTGTAAAAAATTGAAATTGTGTCTAATTTTGAAATGGATAAGTTTGTTTTTTTTACATACTACATACATACTTAATTACTTAATACGCTATAATTTGGTTATTTTGACGGATTTCACTGTTTTTAAATGTTTGTCTACTAGAAATAGTTTATAATTTGTAGAGACTCGGAAAAATCGTATTTTAAAAATCAAAATTTTGCATTTTGTTTTTTGGTAAACTTACAAATCATTGCAGGTTGATAGTTCAATTTTTCGGTCATTCTTTCCTCGAAAGATAGACTGAAAACTATTTAAAAGATATGTTTTATACCTAATACATTTTTTAACTTTTTCAAGTTAAATTAAATTAAATTTTTGGCATTGAACAGATTTCAAAATTATTCTCATTTCCTAAATGTAACGTTACATTTAAGGTTTGTTACTAATATTTTGTAAATTATAAATCCACCAAAGGAAAGATAGGATCTTTCTCTGTTTAATGCTCAAATACGATTTCATAACAGTTAAAAATTGCAAAGTTATCTATTTGTTATATCCAAAAATTTTCAAAAAAGTCTGAAAATCTCAAAAACTGCTGAATTTAGGTCGTATAAGGAGGGTCAATATTAACTCGGGGTATCCAAAAACCAATAAAAACATAGCTTATTTCTTTTTAAAACAACAAAGTTGCTACCGGAAGTGCCACCATCTTGAAAATATTTCTATTAAGCAGGTTAAGTTATTAATGAAAAAATTTTGTTCTAAGTACTCATTGTGTTTTTAAATGAGAAAATTACCAAAACGTTTTGTAACACTACATTTTTGTTTATGAGTTTCATATTTTTCTTCAGTAATGATATTTAGTATGATAATATCACCACAAAAAATGAAATCTGAAAATTTTAAATAGTTTTGTAAAAAAGAAGAATGTATTTCTTATGTCAGGTTATTCTTAAATAAATGGTGACAAACAAAAGAATAATATTTCATTCATTATTCAACGGCTTTCCACCAATAGTGATTTTTCGATATTTTCCAGAAAAGTCACAATTTCCTGAATAAAGAACCACAAATCTCAGTGATTTTTTTTAAACAAAATAACTTTTTTTACACTTCACTACAATAAATTTTTATTTGCAAGTTAAATCTCTTACCTGCTAAATTAAAATAATGCAATTCCTTGTAAGAAAACCAGTTTTGCGAGACAAGAAGTTGCGCCAAAAGGCTTGCAATAATCCTTCCAAGCAAAGGAGCTGCTCTCACATACGACGTAAGACGTTGAAAATTTTTCTCATCCCCATGACAGTATATGGAAACGAAATAAGCTACTTCCGCAGCAGACATACTTCCGTAAAAAGCCTATTTTTATTTTTGAAAATTGTGAAACAAAAATTGAAACATACCTGTGCCACTTGCACTTCCGCCCAGGTTTCGGTCCAAATAAACAAACACGTTGCCAATAAACCAGTAAGAGAGGAGATGATGATGAATGGATTGAACTTAAAATACTCCATGAGGAGATACACAGGGAGGAGTTGCACCGCAGTGCTGTAAAACCAAACCGGCAAAATGTCCTCTTTCACGTCATTTTCCGAAAAGTTTTCATTAGCGAGGAGAAATTCGTAATGGAATGGGATGGTCGGTCGCAAACTTACAACAAATCCGAAAATGTACAAGAAATACAAACGTTTGAACCATTTGAAATGAATTAAGTTCTTCCAACTGATTTCCATTTTTTAAAATTAGGGAAAAAGTCACATCACATTTTCGTCACCAAACTGATTCACAATTTTAGTAATTGTAAGATTGCCTAATCTTTACATTTTGGAGTAGGCTCTTATCTACGCTTATCTTCCCCTGTAATCTGCAACAATAAATTGATATCTGCAAACTTTTATTATTTTACGACAAAGCATTTACGAACCAAAAATTAGTAAACTTGTACTTTTGTTTGCTATTTTTTGGGTGTGGTAGCAAACGTGTTATCTGAATTGTCAGAACTATAAATATTGCAGTAAAATAATTTATGTTCATTTATATCAGTTCATTAAGTACTTATCTAATGAGATTGTATTTTTTATGTTATTTGAACTTACTTTCAAAATTCTACTCGTTATGAGAGTCATAATTTTGATTTTTTTTCAGCATTTTTTTACATTGTGTTGAGTTGTTTTATTGCTTACCAACAAGTTCGCATAGTTGATAATAATTATATACATACGGGGTGTATAAGCATTTTTTGCATAAACTAATAACTTTACGAAAAAGATAATTAGTACAGTTTAAAGTACCTACTATAAAATATGATCGTTTTTTCAAGAATAAAATTTTTCGATTTTTTTTGTTTTTGAGTTTTGCAAAACAGTTTCTTTAAATGGGGACCCACCATGAAAATTTTTTTAATTAAAGATTATGATTGAATTGCAAGTTTCGGAAAGGGTTCATCTTTGAATCTCTTTATGAGACAACAATTGATTGCTGTTGAAACATTGGTGTAATAAAAAAACAACGGAGGAAATAACAAGCTGAATAAATAATGTCTGATAAATGGTAACACTAATAAATAATTTTTTTACAATATCAAGTGTAATGTAATGTAAATTAAATATGTACTATCAATTTGAGGACTTTTTTTCCATAAATCGTTAAATTTTATGTAAAACAAAGTATTTCAACGAAAAAAACGTATAACACTTTGTCTTAGTTTTAAGACAATCAACGAAACAATTTTTGAAACCGTCGTTTTAGCGCAAAACAACGTGAGATTGGGATATTGTCAAAAAGGATTTGACTCGATTTAAGACATTTTTATCACTAAAGTAAGGCATCACAATGCTTAAATAGTTTTGAAATTCATTATTTTCGGCTGTCTTTCCCGATTTAAGAAGTTTTTCATCGAGAAATTTACGAAGTTTCCCAGATTTTGTTAAAACAAAGCCGAAAATCGCAAAAATTTAATTTAGAAATTTAATAAATTTGTCTAAGAAAGATAAAAAATGAGAATTTTGTACTTCGTTATCCCAGAGAAAATTACTAAATTCAATAATGCCAAAATAATGCAAAAACTCGTTTGAAATACGATGTTATTGTATGTATTACTTAATTCAAAGCGTTTTTCATGCAAGAAATTTACTGGATCTAAAAAATTAATAAAATCGCTAAATTATGTTTAAAAATTGCAATATTTTTGCCTAAAACCTTAAAATTTCGCTATTGTGTTATTTTTGCTTCAATTTAAAGACTTTTTCACTTTTTATACTCACAAAATTCGAGCGATTTTGCCAATATAAGACAAAAATATTTTTTGAAATGCGGTGTTTTCGGCAGGTTTGTCCGATTTAAAAAGTTTTTCACTGAGAAACTTACTTAGTTTTAAAAAATTCGCATGAACAAGACACAAAATTTGAAAAATTTGGTTTCAAATGCAATATTGTTGCTCGAGTTAGAGTTTGTTTATTTCACCAAAAAATTCACAAAGATCTGTATGCATACGTATTTTGCGAATCAAGCGGTTTTCTTACAAAAATTTGCCGCATTTAAAAATTTCGTTAAAACAAGTCAAAATCGCAAAATTATGTCTAAAATAAAGTAATATGAGCATTTTAGAACGATTTGTAAAGATTTTAAGCCAGAAACCGTTGTAAATATCGATTTGCAATTTAAGTAGACGATAAACTAGTGTTTTTAGCGAAACTTCAATGATTGAATTAATTATCTGCAAAATCGAGACAATCTATGATTAGACAAATTATCAACATATTAGTTTTCTATCAGCAGTGAACATAAGTGCTTTTGTGATTTAGTTTTTGTTTTTGAATTTAATTTTGTCAAAATGATTGAATTAGGTTACAACTATCTTCACTGGTTTAAACGCCACTACTTCCTCTACATATTTGGTTTTTTAATATATTTCAAACCGATCGAACCATTCTATCGCGAAATGGTTATATCCACCAAAAACATCACTGAACGAGAATTCGACGAGGATATTCTCCCACTGGCCGCTTATTCGACTGTGATATTTGCCCTGTTGATATTCTTTTTTCTAATTTTTACCTATTTTACTCACGTGTTTATTCTGACTCTTATTGGATCACTCACCTACACAATTTCCAGTTGGAAGGGTGAAGTTGTTACCGATCTACAAGTGTCTCAAGTCAGACTCAACAACAGACTTTTTCAAGACTCAAAAAATCATTTCAGGTGTTTTATGGTGCTGTTGTTTCAAGCGAAATTATGTATTTTGCGTCAATTTACGTTTGTCATGGCACAGGGAAAAATTTTGCTAAACTGACAAGTTCCATTAGGGCGGTACCCCTCTGTGCTAAGGTCGTTTCAGCGGTACTTGCCTATGTTTTGACGCAAGTGGCGCTTTTGGATTACCAAGAATTGGTGTTTTTGAGTGTTCCATGTAAAAATAACGATTTTTTTTATATAAAAAAAATAATTTTTTGCAGCTGTCGTTCATGCACTTCCCTGTGTTTGAGATGGAGGAACCGCCAAGTTCGATTCGTCTTAAGATATCGTGGTTCAAAACACAGTTTTCTGAAACTTTTGCAAACAAACACATCCTGAAGTGGTCTCTGTGGAGTGGTTTTAGCCTTTGTGGCTACGTCCGAATCTCCGCTCTCATGGAGTCGTTGTGGAAAGAAACCCAGCTGAAAAATGACGAAACCTCCTTGAACATTGTTGCAGTAGATGGAATTTCAGCGTTTTTCGCCCTCATTGGTGTGCTACTGGCGAAAAATGCCACAGGGAGTGCTAAATTTGGGAATGCGTTATTATGCATAACGTCAGTGCTTGAATGTGTTGTACTTTTGGCTCTGTCAAGTGTTGATAATGTTTGGACTTATGCGGTTTGTGATTTGATTTTAGAAATTGTGTATCAGTTAGTTATGGCTTCTGTATGTGTAATGATAGCGCAAAGGGTGGAACACAAGGGAAATTTTGCACTTGTTTTTAGTTTTATTGGTGTGATTTTTGCAATTTCAAATTTAGTGTTTATTTGTGTTTTTAACAGCGGAAGTTTTACATTGCAGAAGCAGTTAATGATATTGGCAGGGTTTCATTTTATGAATGGGGTACTGGTAGTACTGTTTTGGTTATTAAAAATATAGCTAGATTATTTGTTATGTACTGATACAGATTTGTATATTTTTATAAATAAATACGTGTTTGAAGCAATTATTAGGTAACATCTTTTCTATTTATTGGGTTCTACCATCCATTCATTGTTTCACGAAAAATAATACAAATGATTTGTAGACTGAAATACATTGTGCATTTCACATTTAATTAATTTGATAAATTTTGCTGCGGGGTAGATTTTTGTTTTTTAACGAGAGACTCACCAAATTGAAGAAAATGACAAAATAAAGTAAAAATCGCAAAATTAAAACACGATCTAGAATCTACAGCATTTTTTACCTAGAAGCTCAGTAAATCTGAGAAATTTTGTAAAACAAGGCAAAAAATATATAAAATTTGCTCCGAAATGAGTCATTTTTCACCTTTTACTAACTAAAATGAGGCATAAAATCGCTTAATTAGTTTTAAATGAGGTTTTCATCAAGAAATCAAATTATGTTTGCAGTGTAATATTTTTCTCTGTTACTGAATCTGAGAAATTTTGCTAAAACAAAGCAGAAAATTTGTAAAATTTGGTTTAAATGTGTTATCTATTTATTATAATTATTTTTACTCAATTTGAAAAGTTTTTTACTTTTTAAATATGAGTGATTTTGTCGAGACATGTTCAAAATGGCTTCTTATAAAAAAAGATCATAGTTCTGCAACAAATAGTTATTAAGAAAATCGCTGTTTAAGACAAAAATAACCAAAAAAGTGAAAATTTTTGAATACCCCCTCGTAGAAAAATGGCCATTTTGAAAGTACATAGGCAACCAAATATAAATGTTTGTCTGGGCGGATTAGTCTGCGTTATCTTGTTATCTTGTGTTAAAACCAGAAGAATTCACCTAATTATTGGGAAAAAATATTTACGTTTGGTTTTTGAAAATGGGTGACCATGGTTCTTGGAGGACTCCAGCCTTTAGGCAAAGTGTTGTATCAAAAATGTAAGTTAAACGAATGAAAAGAACTAATAACAAGTGTAACTAATTTTATTTACAGCGATGAAGCAATTTGTCAGTCAGGTATGAACACATCGCGAAACAGTATTGAAATGGAAAATCATGTTTTCCAAAAAGCGAAGACAAAAGAGGAGTATCTCGGCTACGTAGCTCGGCTTATTCTACACGTTCGCGAAATGAGTATGTTGCCGTTAATATCTAAATTATTTCTGTTTATCAGGGATCATTTTAGACACAAAAAAGGGTGCAGGAATGGGTGTTCCAGGCCAAAATCCAGAAGCCCCCGGCGTGCCTGACCCTATAAATGCATTACAAACATTGGCCATTCAGGGTACAAGAAATCCTTTGATGACAAAAAACAACGGAGGAAACAACAAGCTAAATAAATAATGTCTGATAAATGATAACACTAATAATTAATTTTTTGCAATATCAAGTGTTATAAATTAAATATGTACTATCAATTTGAGGTCTTTTTTTCCAAAAATCTCAAATTTTATGTAAATCAAAGTATTTCAACGAAAAAAGCGTATAACAATTTGTCTTAGTTTTACGACAATCAACGTATTTTAACGAAACAATTTTTGAAACCGTCGTTTTCGCGCAAAACAACTAACAACGTGAGATTGAGATATTGTCAAAGGATTTGGCTCGATTTAGGACCTTTTTGTCATTAAAATAAGGCATTACAATGCTTAAATAGTTTTGAAATCTATTATTTTCGGCTGTCTTCCCCGATTTAAAAAGTTTTTCACAGAGAAATTTACGAAGTTTCTCAGATTTTGTTAAAACAAAGCCGAAAATCGCAAAAATTTAATAAATTTATCTAAGAAAGACAAAAAATGAGAACTTTGTGCTTCGTTATCCCAGAGAAAATTACTAAATTTAATTTCCGCCCAAAATAATGCAAAAACTCGTTTGAAATACGATGTTTTTGTATGTTTTGCTTAATTCAAAGCGTTTTTCATATAAGAAATTTACTAGATCTAAAAAAATTTGCCAAAATGAGGCAAAAATCGCTAAAAAATGTTTAAAAACTGCAATATTTTTGCTTAAAACCTTAAAATTTTGCTATTGTGTTATTTTTGCTTCAATTTAGTTTTTCACTTTTTATACTCACAAAATTCGAGCGATTTTGCCAATATAAGTCACAAATAATTTTTGAAAAGCGGTGTTTTCGGCAGTTTTGTCCGATTTAAAAAGTTTTTCACTGAGAAACCTACTCAGTTTTAAAAAATTCGCCTGAACAAGGCACAAATTTGAAAAATTTGGTTTCAAATGCAATACTTTTGCTCGAGTTAGAGTTTGTTTATTTCACAAAAAAATTTACAAAGATCTGTATATATGCATACATATTTTGCGTAGGGTAAACCAGGCAAACGTGCCCCACTTGATAACGTGCCCCACTCGCGAAACTAGCAGATACATTTTGAATTTGGCGCAGTGCAGGTTTTTATTTGTTTTAAGTGAGAAAAAGTGATCTGAAGGTATGTATGACAGTGTGAATTTGTTTTGTATCTGTTTTTACGTCATGTTAAAGTATTTGCTTCATATTTTTTTACTTTTTTAAACTTTAATTCTAAATGTAACTTCTTTTGGCTTTTGTATGCATACAATTACGTTCCGTTTTTAGTAAACTTTTGTCTCGTGATCAAGGGGGGCACATTATCCTGAACATTGGCTAATGTGCCCCGATTTGTTTCGGGTATTGTGCCCCATCTGTGGATTATTTTTCAATTATAATTTTTATGAACTTCTAATTTAGAAACAGTGAAGATAATGCGCAACCAATAAATGATAATCCGCAGTCAATTCAGAATATAAATGACCTTTCGTTGCCGAGAACCTCCACATCTTCAATGAATCAAAATGTCTAGATGCCTACTTCACATGCTTCTGTTGTTTCACCTAAAGAAAAACCTTACAGATAGTTAGTCCATTGCCTGTCATACATCGTAAATTAAGTAAAAGGAAACAAAACGTTAAGATTTTGACTTCAGAAAGTCATTTAACAACTCGTAAACTGTTTGAAGAAAAAAAGAAGTCGCAAGAGAAGAAGTTGATTACTGTACCATCAAAACGTAAGAAGAATTTTTCAAAAGCGTTTTCTTCTTCATCGGAAAGTGAAGAAGAAGAGTTACAGCTCAGCGAATCTAGTGAAGAATGTTCTGATGAAAACGACAACACTTGTGTAGAATGTCTCCAGTCTTACTACTATACGAAGAAGAAAAGTGACTGGATTCAATGTTTGCAGTGTTCTGGCTGGACACATTAAGATTGCAGAAACTTTTTAGAAAAATGCAACAAGTGCGGTGGCAATAATAAAGTCAAAGGAAAAGGAAAAAAGACAAAAAAATGAGAGGCTTTACTGGGGCACATAAGACTGATGTATCCGTGAAATGTGCCCCACCCTAGATTTTAAGAAATTGTTAATCTCAACTGTCTTAATTACATTTTAGTAGATTTTTTTAGTTTTTGTTATGCAAATTGAGTCAGAGGTTAAGACTAATTACTTTAATAAACATGTTCTAAATAATACCGTTTTTTATTTCAATTCTTTGAATGGTGGGGCACAATTGCCAGGTTTACCCTATCAAGCGGTTTTCTTACAGAAATTTACCAAATTTAAAAATCTTGTTAAAACAAGTCAAAATCGCAAAAGTATGTCTAAAATAAAGCAATATGAGCATTTTAGAACGATTTGGAAATATTTTAAGCCAGAAATCGTTGTAAACATCGATTTGCAATTTAAGTAGATAATAAACTAGTGTTTTTAGCGAAACTTGAATGATTGAATTAATTATTTGCAAAATCAAGACAATCTATGATTAGATAAATTATCAACATATCAGTTTTCTATCAGCTGTGAACATTAATAAGTGATTTTGTGATTTAGTTTTTGTTTTTGAAATTAATTTTGTCAAAATGATTGAATTAGGTTACAACTATCTTCACTGGTTTAAACGCCACTACTTTCTCTACATATTTGGTTTTTTTAATATATTTCGAACCGATCGAACCATTCTATCGTGAAATGGTTGTAACCACCAAAAACATCACTGAACGAGAATTCGCTGGTTAAGACAAAAATAGCAAATGCAATAGTAAACAAGTGAAAATTTTTGAATACCCCCTCGTAGAAAAATGGCCATGTTGAATGTACATAGGCAACCAAATATACACTCAACACTTATTTAGGGATATTTAGTTTGTGCTGTGCTGTGGTGGTGAATATTTGACAACTCCTCGATCTTCTTCGAGTCACTGATTGAGTTGTCAGTGGTTGTCAACAGTCAATTTTTTGTTGTGTATTTATTCATCTAGAAAATATACTGAGATAATTATTGGAAAAATTTATTTACGTTTGGTTTTTGAAAATGGGTGACGATGGTTCTTGGAGGACTTCAGCCTTTAGGCAAAGTGTTGTATCAAAAATGTAAGTTAAACGAATGAAAAGAACTAATAACAAGTGTAACTAATTTTATTTACAGCGATGAAGCAATTCGTCAGTCAGGTATGAACACATCGCGAAACAGTATAGAAATGGAAAATCATGTTTTCCAAAAAGCGAAGACAAAAGAGGAGTATCTCGGCTACGTAGCTCGGCTTATTCTACACGTTCGCGAAATGAGTATGTTGCCGTTAATATCTAAATTATTTGTGTTTATCCCGGGATCATTTTAGACACAAAAAAGGGTGCAGGAATGGGTGTTCCAGGCCAAAATCCAGGAGCCCCCGGCGTGCCTGACCCTATAAATGCATTACAAACATTGGCCATTCAGGGTACAAGAAATCCTTTGATGACAATGGGTGGCAATCAGCCAGGTCCAATGGGGACACAACAGCAAATTGCAGCTTCAAATTTACTACAAAATTTAAACAGAGGCCCGGGACAAGCTATGAACATGCAGCAAGGGATGACACCAAGACCCAACATAGGTATTGGACCCAACGGCGGGCCATTACCCAACCAGCTGGGCAACCAGATGAATCAAATGAACTCTCAAATATCAAATCAAATGGCCAATCAATTGGCAGGGCAAATGTCTAACCAAATGGGCAGTCAGATGCAAGGCTCCGTCCAAAATCAAATGGCTAACCAATTATCCAGTCAGATACAAATGGGGGGACCAATGCAGAACTCCATGGGGCCAATGGGGAACCAAATTCCCAATCAAATGCTAAGTCAAATGCAAACCAACAAACAAGGCCCAATGATGATGAATGGCCCAAATACAGGATTCCCCAGAAACTCTACACCTAATCAATTCCTAAGCCAAAGTCCGTCGCCATCAGTTCAATCCCCGGCTGGTCTCAGTGGAGCTCCATCTAGTAATCAAATGGTGGCATCGCCGGCTTTGGCTCCATCACCCAGCTCCCAAATGAGCATGTTGGGAGCAGGTCCTCCAAGATCCGTAGGGATGGTTCCCAGCCCTGGAAGCTCACTCAACACTCCAGGACAACCAAACCAGAGTCCCATGGGAATGCAGGATGAACAAGCCTACCGCGAGAAAGTCAGACAGTTGAGCAAATACATAGAACCCTTGAGGAAAATGATCGCAAGAATGGGAAACGATGGCGAACGTATGTATTTTTTTAAATCTGGTAAACTTAATTAAATCTTTATGGATTATTCACTTTGTTGATAGATGTGGAAAAACTGAGCAAAATGAAGAAGTTACTAGAAATCCTGTCGAATCCTCAACAACGGATGCCTTTAGAAACGCTAAAGAAATGCGAAGTCGTTTTGGAGAAACTTGATTTTAAGAGAAGCGACGGAAGTGTTCCAACATCAACAAGTGGGCATTTGCCCCTCAAGGAACATCACGTGTTCAATCCGTTATTGGAAGCAGTCAGTAATAATTTACAAAGTTCCGTTATAAATCACACCTTACATCGCACTTTTGGTCCAACTTTGGAAGCTTTATTTGGACCAGAAATCAAGTACTTTGCTCCAAACTTTATTTTTCATAGATTAATACATTTTTTCAGATTGGTACCGCCATTAAAAAGGATGAAAGTTGAGGAACCTACCAGTGATATTCCAGATGTTCTTCAGGGTGAAATCGCGCGACTTGATCAACGATTTAAAGTCTCGCTTGATCCAAATCAACAACCTGGCTCCAAGTCAATTCAATTGACATGTTGGTTGGATGACAAACAATTGCCTTGCGTTCCTCCAATTTCCTTGGTTGTTCCTGAAGATTACCCAAAGTCGGCACCAAGTTGTCACATGGCCGCTCATGAATATAACGCCACTCAATTTTTATCCGCCGTTCAAACGGCTCTTTTGGCAAGGATAAAGAAGCTGCCTAAATATTTTTCAGTTTCTCAGTTATTAGATACATGGGAGATGAGTGTGAGGCAAGCCTCGGCTCCAACAAGCGTTCCGGTTTTTCCCACAACTTTACTCATGGGACTGTAGACTTTTTTAATTGTTCTCTCTTAAAACTCTCATTGTGTAGGTTAGGTATACCAATTTTTATGTAAACTAGAGGAATAAATTCAATAAATGTTTAAAAAAAATGTGTAAATTTAAATTTAAAAATAAAAGAAAAGTGAAAACCCAGAATTAGATTTTTCTATTTCCGTGTTAGAATAAGTCTATTCCAGCACCCAAATGACGTCATTTGAGTGCTGGAATAAGTCGTTGGCGTTAATTTAATTTTAGTGACGGACTTTCTTCACAATTCATTTT